TATACAGAGAGGAGGAGAGACAGAGAGGAAGATCTTGTGTCCGACAGTTCACTCCCCAAGTGGCCACAATGGCCAGAGCTGAGCTGATCCAAAGCCAGGAGCCTGGAGCTTCTTCCAGGTCTCCCATGTGGGTGCAGGGTCCCAAGGCCGTCCTTGACTGCTTTCCCAGGCCACAGGCAGGGAGCTGAATGGAAAGTGAGGCCACCGGGGTTAAAACTGACATCCATATGGGATCCCAGAGCATTCAAGGCAATGACTTTAACCACTAGGCTGTTCCGCTGGGGCCTATCTATAAATTTTTTAACATTGTTATTTATTTTGGAAGGAAAGAGATAATGCGATCAATGGTTGGTTCACTCCCCAAATACCCAAAATGGGATTGGGCCAGGCCTAAGCCAGAAGCCACAAACTCAATCCAGCCTCCCAGTGAGCGTCAAGGACCCAGCCATCAGAGCTACCCTTGGTGCACGTTAGCAGGAAATGGGAAGAGGAGTGGAGCAGGATCTGGATGCAGTTCTAAGCATCCTAACCTGTGTCTTAACCACCAGACCAAGCACCCAAATATTTTTATCTGTTCATTTCACTTATTTGAAAGAGACACAGTGAAAGAGCTTCCATCTTCTGGGCTGGTTTACTCCTCAAATTATGAACCAAGCCACAGCCAGAGGCCTGGAACTCAGCAGGTCTCCCAGGTGGGTGACAGGGACCCAAATACTTGAGCCATTACCTGACTGCCTCCTAGGTTTTGCATCAGAACAAAGGCGATCCAGAAGTAGAGTTGGAACAATTTAAACACACACATGCACACACACACACATGCACACACACACATGCACACACACACACACACACACACACACACACACACTCCTTAAGTGAAAACCATGGATTTGAATTTCTTCTTGTCTTTGAGCAATAAATGTCTAGCGCCAAGGGAAATTTGCAGCAGCTTTCTGGATCATTCTAGAGATAATGAGAAACTTGTAGGAAGTTCTAGGGAATGGGGGCATCTTGGAGGACAGGGATCTCTCAGCCATTCCTGAGTTGCTAGAGGTAACAGCACCCATCCCTAGATGCTGCTTTTACTGGGCTGTGCCCTGAAGCCATCCAACCTGAAACAAGGGAGAAACTGGAGCGAGAAAGGAGAGCCTCGTATTCATTTGGCTTTCAGACATTCTCACTGCTTCATTCCCTGCGAGCTGAAACCAGCCCATCCCTGACTGGGAGTCGAGGCTTAGGGAGCCTCACCCCATGAGCCAGCTCAGTGGTCAACACTAGATACTCGTAATGATTATTGAGCCTCTACTGGGCCCAAGGGCGTGTGTCCACCTTACACCAGAAGGACACACTGTCATGCCTCTTACCAATGAAAGCACAGGCCAGGACAGGTCAGACTCCCATTTTGAAACAGTGTGTCCCCCACGACCTTGTCCTGCCTTTCTGTCTTGGCAGGGAAGCCAGCTGGGCTTAGCAGGTCTCAACGTAGCAGCGTTTGGGAGCCAAGGTGAAAGCAATGAAGACATGGGAGTGGATAAGGGTTGTCATCTGTCCGAAACTGCTTTTCACCCTGAATGATGACTCCAGCACAGAGGCAGTATTTGCCTTAGTCACTCGGAAATATTCGTGATCGAAGATCAAATAACTAGTTCCTAATGTAGTCTAAGGCTTATCTTAAAATGAAGCTAATGATCAAGTATCTATGTGATTTCACAACTAAATCCTCTCATCATTCTGTGTTGTAATGACTTATGCATCCAAGCGTTATAATGGTGAGTTTGAATGGTCACATTTACTTTATTTCACTAGTTTGAGTAGTCACACCATAACCAGGAAGCTAAAACCACAGGGATGAGTGAGGCACAGCTAAACTCACCTTCTTTTCTGCAGTTCAGTTATCTCTAGCGTAAGGTATTCATGGCAAACTGAGGTGAGAAAATACTAATTGGAAAGTGCCAGCAGTAAGTCTTTCATGGGTTGTAAATTGCACACCATCTTAAGCAGCATATTGAGACCTGTCTCACCCACGCCTCCAGCACAAGGGCGCCTGAGTTATGTCATTGTCTCCAGCGTACATTGCCAGCCTGGTGGTGACCAGATAACCTTCATAGTTATCCAGTCAACATAGTTATAGTGCTTATGTCTGGACTTCAAGACTCTGAGCTTCTAGGCTTCTACTGGGCGTGTTTGAGAGCATCACCAGAGGATAAGAGGGGATGGTTGTGTTTCTCATGTGTGGCCTGGTTAGAGAGAGGAGTTTATCAAGCAGTGATCCTGCCAGTATCTCTTGCCTGTGAATGCTGGCAGCAGAGCTGGGGGGTAAGACGTGTTTCACACAGCTGTGGTGCCATGATAACTGGTATGCTCTGTGATGAGGCTTCAGCCTGTTACAGCCCTTCAAGTGCTTCTGAGTCATCAAAAGCAGATTAAATTATGTCACACAGTCTTGTTATTCAGGTAATTTTATTACAGTCAGGCTTTCAGATGTAATGCGTGGATGGGTTATACATTCAGCTCAGGCGGCCTCCTTTTCTGAGCTGCCCAGCATTCAGAAACTTATTCTACAGAATCCTGAAGAGAAATAATAGCTCTCCCAACCAATGTCATTTCTAAATTGAAACTCTTGTATGTTTCCTTTGATTTGGCAGGGATTCACTGAAAGAAAATCCAAAGACGTCAAAATCAGGTGATTTTCCAATCAAACATTGATTAGTTTTGGAGGCTAAGGAAAGTGTTGCACTGTCTTTTGTATCACCACAGAAGTAATCAAAACTGCAAACTCCCAGGGTGTGCTGCGCACAAACACCGAACGATGACCCCAGGAAACATTCGTCGGACTGTGGGCTGTTGAGAGAATAGGGAAATGGCTCTGAGCAAAAGAATAAAGGTTCTTAATTGGGCTGTAACTTAACTCTATCATAAGCCTGCTTGGGGGAGAATGTGAAACCCACCTTGGGAAGAACCTCAGAAGGGATCTGATGCCCCACCACCCACATCAGGCACCTGCCCTTCTGATGTTGATGCCAGGTCAGTAGATGAATGGCAGGAGGGGACACAGGATGATGCTGGGAGCCTCCTGTCTTGCTCTCCACCCACCCCCTGCTTGCTTGGCTCTGAACCCCTCACATCCACAGAGGCACCTATGTGTGCCCCACTGGTGTCAGCACACCTTTGGGGCCTCGTGAACGTTCCTTGGTGAACGAACGAGGAAAAACAAATGCAACAGTGACTCCCTTTTCCCTTCCTTTTCTTCAGGACCTTTTGATAGTTGGTCCTTAGGACAGGATGGAAAAGTCCCTCCCAGCTGACAAGCGCACCACCTTCCATCTTCCCAGGTGCCCCCACCTCACTGTTTTTTCTTGCCTACTCCTGTTGAGGGTGTGGGCAGGGCAGGACTGAGGAAGAGCCACACAGAATCCGAGCGATTGGGATCTTTTTCCAGTCCATTCCTTGTTTTGTCCTTTCTCCATCCCCTTCTCTTCTCACCCATAACCCTGAGCACCAGCACTTGCACCCCCCTTTCCTTCTCAGGAACACTCCTGCTCTATGAGCCCTGGCCCTGCTTCAGACCCAGCCCCTAAAACCCCACCAGTGCAAATGTCTTACAAGGTGAAGAGTGCTTAAAAGCTTGGTGAAAGAGAAAGCAGGAAGCATTTTAGAATCTCCACCAGGGGTCGGATTTAAAAGCTCTCAAAATCAGATCTGACAATCCCAGGAAAAAGATAATGACATGGGTTTCTAAGAAACCAAGCTGGGGGACAGGGAGTGGATGCTGTGTTTTTCAACCTCAGAGTAGATATTCTCCCTCCTGCTCTTGACCCACATGGGGGTCACAGTCTTGTATGCTGGCCCTTCTGCAGGGGTTGAGGGAAACAGGCATTGGGGAGAGACCCCCGAAGTCTGTGTGACCACGGCCCCCTGTGCCCCCTGCAGCAGCTGCTTGCTAGCTAAGACTGTGATTGTCAAGGACAATCATCCAGAAAGAAATGCTTGGAGCTGTCTCTGCTTGCAGCTGGATGTAAGACACACACACACACACACACACACACACACACACACACACACACACACACGCACTGCAGCATAGCAAAGGCAGCCCAGGCTGCCAGCTCAGCCTGTGCATTTCCTGTGCTTGGATATTCACAGCCACAACAGCAGGGACCAGCTCTGCTGTATAGTAAAGAGTGAGGCAGACACATCGTCCTTCACCCCGTTGACTGAAGCCAGGGGCCAGCCTATGGCTGCACCATGTGTGAGCTTCCGTATATGGAAAATCAACGTTCTGCAAGAAAAAGAATTTGCATTTGGATATTTTTATTAACAATGTGAAGATATAGAAAGGCTACTTGGACTGTTTGTAGGGCAGAGAGAGAAAGCTTGCATGCTTCATGACAAAGACAAGATTCAGTTGGAATAATGAGTTGGCTAAATTTAGTCAGGATGAGGCAGAAGTCTAAATTTTTTATTACATAAACTCAGAAGCAGTGAGACGTGAATTAGTAATAGTTCATGTGTAGTGGTTGATTGTGTCATCTGTGGAGGCGACAGAATTTTTCTTGGGCTTGGAGAGGGGAAGTAGGGAGGAAATGGGAAGGAAAATTCCAGATCCACCAATCACCAGACAGTGATTCCACTACACAAGGTCTGCCCATTACAGCAAGAATGAATTTAATCCATTCTCTCACCAAAGGGACTTGGAGTTCTTATAACACCAAATTAGCTCCTAGGGCCCAGATGAAGGATAGCTAGTACACGTTGCCACTGAGAACCAAGCACTGACTCCAGGCCACCCCAAGGACCATGGCACTTCTGGGTCACACTCTCTTCCCTTAGTCTACCCGATGGATTAATGTGGTACAAATACGGTGACCCTGTAAGGACACATTTTGGGAGCGTCTTTCAAAAGGTTATGACTGTGACAGATCTGTGAGCAGCAGCACAACTATTTCCTAATGTTGGTGGGAGAGTGTGTGACATCTGCAATTGTCTCTGCTTTGTCATAGATATGTGGAACTGACCAACTACTGTGATTATAAAGACTACCGGGAAACCATATTGAGCAAACCAATGCTGTTCTTTATTAATGTGTTGACCAAAAAGGACACTTCAAAAGGTAGGTCTAGAAACATTTTTGTTTTAGGGGCTGCCTTGCTGGAAAAGGGGCATGAAAGGGGCAGGGTGGAAGGCACCTTGTGACAATGCCAGCATCCTGGAGCCTGGTGCTTGAGGCCAGCTGGAGCCTTGCACAAGCCTCTGGAAACAGCATCTACATACCCTAGAGCAGAAGTCCCCTGCCTCAGAGCTTTGTTCCCACCTACTGTGTAGGTAAGAAGTGACCCAACATTCTGAGCCTTCCAGGCCCCACCTCCCGTCTAGGCAGAGAATGGTCTGATATTCTGAGTCTTTAGAGTGATGGAATGACGAGTTGTGAGGATACAATGTGCTGTATTACACACTAAATACTTCTGAGGGGTGCTCTAATATGACTAATTGGCACAATATCCCTGTAGGAACCTTCATCCACGTGGGAATATTTTTGAGTATAAAAGTCATCATAGCTGCATGGAAATACAACCCAGGTCTCTAAGGCAGGTGGGCAGAAATGCACCCACTTGAAACCTTTGAAGTCCTGTTGCCCGGCAGGACCTGAACCCAGGCCCTATCCTGCGGGATGTGCAAATATTACTGGTGTCTTCACCAGTGGTTCAAATGTCTGCCTTCCCGTTTTATAGGTGGGGAAGCTAAGACAAAGAATTAGCATCTGTTGATGATCTTATGCTTGATGCTCTGGTGCTAGCATTTCACATTCTTCTTGCTTCTTCCAAGAAATCAGATCATCTGGTAAAGTTGACTCTTTAATATTTTCCTTCCTATACCTGCTTAGTGTGATATGTGAGGAAAATCTTAGATATAATGTTGTATGATACTGGTAGATTTCTTGAACTTGCTTCTAAATAACATTCTTAAAATGAGTCCATGATAAGAAGAAGCAATCCAGCAATTTCAGAGACTTTCTCAGACATCCACACTCATTCAGATCCTCCTTATTCCCTAATTCAAAGTCATGACACCCTAGCTGCCGAGACAGGCAGGCACAGGATGCACAGTTGCAAGCGGTGCTTGTTAGAACATCTGAGCCCTGCCTGTTCTTTGGCTTACTGATGTCCACGCAGCCAGAGCCCTCTCCAGGAGCAGGACTCCCAGCTGCAACAAGCACAGCCCCTGGGCCAACCTCTCAGGACGAATCTAAAGAATCAGAATCCCCTCCTTGTTTTCATTTGAAATGAAAATACAGGGAGGGACACAAGGAGGTATGGCTGGGTGATGTGTATGACAAGTCTTGTAGAAGGAGGTACAGAAATAAGTACTGGTTAACTAGGAGAAAAGCCATAAAAGGAAGACATTTCATGATACAGAAACCCAAGATGGTCAAAGTTTAAATTGTGATTAAGGCAACGTGTCCAGTCCTGTCACTGTTTGAAACCTGAACTTTTGCAAAAAATTTAAAAAGCGACCGTTCCCCGCACACCAGTGCTAAATCTTGTTAGAAGTTTGTCGTAATAGACACACAGAGAGATGAGGTTTGCAAAGGTGCATGCCACCACCTACTGTTGTGTAGTGCACAACCTGCTCAGGCAACACAAATTTGGGATAGGACTGCCCTGTGGTTTGGTCCTTGTGAAATGTAATTCAAGTGGTGGATGTTTCGCGGCACGGTAGGTTAAGCCACTATTTGGGATGCCTGCGTCTAATATTGGAGTGATGGTCCAAGTTCCAGCTACTCTGAATGTCTGATTCAGCTTCCAGCTAACACACTTGGGATATAGCAAATTATGGGTTCATGCCACTGATGTGCAGGATCCAGATGAAATTCCTGATTCCTGGCTTTGGCCTGCCTTTGCCATAGCTGTTGTGGGCATTTGGGGAATGTATCAGAGGATGGAACAATCTCCCTCTCTTCTTCTTTATAACCATGCCTTTCAAGTAAATAAGTAAATCTTCAAAAATATCTTCAAAAGGAGGCACTTCAAGGTATCAAATAGCTTGCTTGTTTTAACTGTTTATCCATCTTTTGTCTTAAAGATACAAAGAAATGTATACACAAAGTGCCTGCCCCCACCAAATAATTGGAAAGAAAGAAAAACATAGGTAGAAAAAGTAAGAGAAACAAGTTTAGCTCAAAATTCATTCCTTGCAAATATAAACCCTTATTGGAAAGACCACAGGTTTGGCTCTGAGATGTCTCAAGACTAGAATACAGTCCTTAGATTCCCAAACCACTCCTGGCTGGTCCAGATGGAGGGTGACACAGATCTCTATATGTCGCCTTAGTTAAGTGCTTAAGGTCATTGAGCTTGATTCTGAGGACTACAAAAATGGAAAGGTTGCTTGCTGGTGCCATTTCACATTTCCTGATGAATCAGCAACCTTCCCACTGCTTCAATTATGTGGAGTTGGACAGAAAGGCAGAAGGGATTAATAAAGCAAAATGGACAGTGACAGCAGAAACAACTGTTTGCCAGGGTAGATGCACTTTGAAACAATGGGATGCATATTTGGACTTGTGATAGGGCTAAGGGTGCGGAGGAGACACTCCTTCAAACCTGCTCATTATTAGACCCAGAGAATATTAGTTTGCTGAAGAGACTAGAAAGAGCTGCAGGGACACAGGACATGGAAATCCTGGGCAGCTTTCTCACTGGAGTCTGCTGATTTTCTGCTTTGCATGTGAAGCAATGTCACAGACCACTAACTAGTGATTCAGGCACCCAGCAAGGTGAGGGCATGAGACCAGCTGGCTGGATTCTGCACGTTCTGTCTTGTGCATGCCACAGAGGCTTTGTACTCTTCTCTGACAATCAGAGTATGGAACCTGTAATTTGTCAGGCCTGGTGATGAACCGCAACCTAGGGGAGCTGATGGCCTAGTCTGTTTCTATTTTCCTAAAGAATTATTTATTTTTTGTTGGAAAGTCAGATATACAGAGAGGAGAGACAGAGAAGAAGATCTTCCGTCCTATGATTCACTCCCCAAGTGAGCGCAACGGCCGGTACTGCGCCGATCCGAAGCCGGGAACTGGGAACCAGGAACCTCTTCCGGGTCTCCCACGTGGGTGCAGGGTCCCAAAGCATTGGGCTGTCCTCAACTGCTTTCCCAGGCCACCAGCAGGGAGCTGGATGGGAAGTGGAGCTGCCGGGATTAGAACCGGCACCCATCTGGGATCCCGGCGCATTCAAGGTGCGTTCAAGGCAAGGACTTTAGCCGCTAGGCCATGCCGCCGGGCCCTGGCCTAGTCTGCTTTTACAACAGCCCAGAGCTCCCCCACCAGTCTGGGAAATTCTTGGAAGCATTTCTAAAACACCTGCTTGGGCTTTGCAGTGAGGGTCTGAGGTCGGTCAGGTGGGAATAAAACCACCTATGAAGGTGGGAAGCGCTGGACAGATCTTTGAAGAAGCATGTTAATATCTCCGTCCACGCTTCTGTCTGAATCCCGCTTGCTGATTTCTAGAGAAGACGTACGCATTTCTGGTGAACACGAGGCACCCCAAGATTCGAAGACAGATAGAGCAGGGCATGGACATGGTCATCTCCTCAGTGATTGGAGAAAGTTACCGACTCCAGGTAAGCCGGGGCCTGTCTGAGTCCGGGGCGTCCAACCCCACGGGGAGCCTGTGTATTTACACTAGGAATCCAGTGCCTAGCGCCTTTGCCTAGCTCCGGCTGACCCCCTGCCTCACTCTGCAAACCATTTGGATTCCTGAAACCGCATATTGTACTGACCCCAACAGACGCGGGGACTTCAAAAGCTTCATGACAAACAGGATTAAAAGATAAGGCTTATTTTGGTGCCAACTAAACTGAAATACATGTAGATGAGAAGGCCTTCAAAAAGTGGGAAAAGGTTATGAAAATATGATGCATGCCTTTTGAAATTCCACCAAAATCAGCATATTCCTTCATTCAATTTTTTCACACACTTTTTGAAGTATGTTTTGGTCCCATGCATGAATACATATGATAAAGTTTAATTTGCGAATGGAGTACAGTTAAAGATTAGCAACAATAATAAAATGGGACCAGTATAATAACATAAAACAATAAAATAAAATTTATTTAAGACTTACTCCTTTTTTGGGGGGGAATGTTCCATTTCATCTTTTGGAGCCCTGGTAAATTGAAACTGTCCAAAATGAAGGCACAGATAAAGCAGGACTATTGTGTACACAGTCACTTTATTATCACGTCATATTGCTACCTATATGGTGAACTCAGTTTCTAGTACTTACTAGAAATGGGATAAAAACTGATTTTGACCACACAGTTCAGTATCTTCAGATGGCATATGAAACACAAAGATCTACTTTTTAAAAAAGGGACAAAGTTTTTTGGTTAAAGAGAAATGAGGGGCATAGCATTTTAGATACCCGGGCAGCTGTTCATCCTGACCCATCAACCTGACTTTCATCTCTACCCTGCCAATTTTGTGCTTTTCTTTTTTCAGTTTGATTTTCAGGAAGTAGTGAAGAACTTTTTCCCTCCAGGAAACAAGGTGGTTAATGGAGAAAACTTGACTTTTGCATATGAGTTCAAAGCTGATGCATTGTTCGATTTCTTCTATTGGTTTGGGCTCAGCAATTCCACTGTGAAAGTGGATGGAAGAGTCCTGAATTTGTCAAGCACCAGTCCTGAGAAGAAGGAGACGATTAAGTTATTTCTGGAAAAAATGAGTGAACCTTTAATTCGAAGGAGCAGTTTCTCTGACCGGAAATTCAGTGTCACTTCCAGAGGTATGCTGAAAATTCTCGCAAGTGTGTGAGATGTGGTTAGAGAGAGGTTAGAACGACCTAGTGGGAAGAGGGTGGTCAATTAAATGGAAAGGCAAGACATACTGATCAAAGAGAGGGCTAGGGCCCAGCGTGGTGGCCTAGTGGCTAAAGTCATTGCCTTGCATGCACTGGGATCCCATATGGGCATTGGTTCTAATCCTGGTGCTCCCACTTCCCATCCAGCTCCGTATTTGTGGCCTGGGAAAGCAGTGCAGGGGGCCCAAAGCCTTGGGACCAGCACCCACATGGGAGACCCAGAAGAGGCTTCTGGCTCCTGGCTTTGGATCAGCACAGCTCCAGCCATTGCAGACACTTAGGGAGTGAATCATCAAACAGAAGATCTTTCTTTCTCTCCTCTGCTCTGTATATCTGAATTTCCAATGAAAATAAATCTTAAAAAAAAAGAGCGATATCCCATGATGTGATGCAGAAAGCCATAAGTGTTCACTCCCAAAAGCAATATACTAGCTTCTCTGTAGGTGTTTTACAAATTTCATATTTAATTATGATTTGATATTTAATATGAGTAAAATAAGTTAATAATAATTTGAAATATCAAAGTGATCATTGATACTCATTTAAACATTATTAACAGGATTTTAATTGTGAAAGAATGCTGTTTTCTCTATGTGTGTACTCTGGGTACAAGACTGTCAGCTAGCCTGTGGGGCTCCAGATTTGTTTTTTTTTTTTTCTTTTTTTAAAGAATTATTTATTTATTTATTGGAAAGTCAGATATACAGAGAGGAGGAGAGACAGAGAAGAAGATCTTCCGTCCTATGATTCACTCCCCAAGTGAGCGCAACGGCCAATGCTATGCCAATCCGAAGCCAGGATCCAGGAACTTCTTCCGGGTCTCCCACAGGGGTGCAGGGTCCCAAAGCTTTGGGCCATCCTCGACTGCTTTCCCAGGCCACAAGCAGGGAGCTGGTTGGGAAGTGGAGCTGCTGGGATTAGAACTGGTGCCCATATGGGATCCCGGTGCGTTCAAGGTGAGGACTTTAGCCACTAGGCCACGCCGCCGGTGGGGCTCCAGATTTGTATCTTTACTATTTGGAAGGCTCCTCCAAATCCCGTAAGACCATGAGAGGAGGACTCTAGAGGTGTCACTGGGAACTGTCAACAGCCTGGGGTGGGTTCCACATGGCTCAGGTAGGAGACTTGCATCCCCTATTCTCTGGAGGCCTGTTCTCTGTCACCTGCTGGTCTGCACCTTGGATAGGACCCAGGAGGATAAGTAGAAGAAGCCAGTGTCTTCCAAGTTCAGGTGTAAAATACAGCCTTCATTGATGGCATTATCAGCAGATGCTTCTTCCACTGGTTGTAGCAACAATGCTTACTCCTGGCTACTTATTATCCTGCGAGCGATCTCTTTCTCCCTCCTTCCTGTCCTCATTTCCTCTCTGTCTTCTTTCTCTCTGTTGCTCTCTTCTCTCGCCATCTTGGCTTCTGCCCATCCCCTTCTCTCCTTCTCTCTCTAAATCTCTCCCTCTACGCTGCTTTAGCTAACTCTGTCTCATTCTCTGTGTCTCTCTGTGTCTGCTTTCCTTCAGGTTGCACTACTTGATCTGTGAGATGTTGCTGTGCTCTGCCTCACTGTAGCCACGGGGGTAACTATATGGGGGCTCTGTGGGAAAGATGAACTGCAGCTCTGTGACAACAGTATCATGGACATCTGATCCTTCCTGCAACACACTCAGCTTTTCCCGTGGGCTGCAGCAGCCCAGGAATGGTCAGCCGGACTCACCATGGCTCACCTTCTGTCCCCTAAGCTGACATCTCAGGGAAGCCAAGGAGCATGGGCTGAGGTTGAGCAGTGCTTGCTTGCAAGTTTACTCTGAGCCAGCTGTGGGGCCATTTCAGCAGTGGAACAGGCCAACAGGGTCCTTCTTGAAAGCTGTCACAGGCACTCCAGATGCCAAAGCCAAGAGACACCTGCTGCCTTAGCTAGCAGGCTGAGCCTGGCTCCCAGCCCCTTGGCATTGCACAGGGCCACAGTGATAACCCAGCTCCAGTTTCCTCAAAACCTACCCTCTGTCCTGGACATCTATTTCCCTAATTGGGCCTTGTACTTCAAGTGAGAAAGTTCCTGCTGGTCACTGTGGATGAAGTCTAACCCCTAAGAAAGTAAGCGGTAATCACATTCCACTGGTAAATGAAGGACAATGTATTTCTGTTTAGCTTCTGGAGATTTTTTGAGAAAGGCAGCATTCTCTGTTCTATTATTAAAATGATTGGACTTTATAAGTTTTAAAGACTGTTGGTTTTTTGAATTTTTGTCTTAGCAGTGCTGTTAATGACGCATGCCTTGTTTACTACATTTTAGGTTCAATAGATGACGTTTTCAACTGCAATCTGTCACCCAGATCATCCTTGACGGAGCCTCTTCTGGTAGAATTCCCATTTCCCAGCGTTCTAGAATCTGACGAGACACCCACACAGTTGATCTGATTGGACGGAACTTGGTCAGTCCAATATGCTTAGCCTGAGCCGGACTACAGGTTGAAAGGACAAGAGGAAATGGGAGGCAGACGCTTCCACCTGCTTGTAAACCCCTGTCTCCTCCACGGCTTCTACCGAGGGTGCTTCTGTTCCATTTCTCTTGATGCCTTGGCAGGCCCAATGCATCTGACTCCCTTCAAGATTATGGCTACCTGGATAAAAAGGCTTAGCCCCATGGCATAGCTGGCTAGTGGTGGCAATGATGGGGTAATACTCTCCCTTTTGAATCCTTTAATCTTCAAAGATGCAGAACAGGACTGGACGTTTTGTCCAGGACTCCACTCTCTCAGAGTTTCCCTGGCAGTCACTGTGGCTATTGTCTGACCTTTACATGCTTTCTAAGTGAGGAGTTGATTCTGCTTGGGGCATCCTTGTGTGTCCCCAATCCCAGGGAGTATAAGGCTCACTGCACTGTTGTCTTGTAAACCCTGGATGAGCACTAGGCCTGTTCCATCATTCAAGGGCAGACAAGTGTGATTTTTATCCTTCATATGTATGTACACTCAAGGCAAAGCTTGCTGGTACAGCAGCCAGGTTGCTAGGAAGGTAATTCTGCCACCCACTGCCTGAACTGTGAACTCACTCGACCTGCCACATAGGAGGAGGCCAGGTCATGTGAGACCAAGCGACAATGGGATGGAAAGCACACACACTGTCCTCTTTGTGAAAACACATGATGTGAGCTGGGTATTTTAAAGAAGCTTTTTAGCAGTCTTAACACAAGAAGCAAAATAGCATGTTCCAAGGCTACCACAGCACATTGTTATAGCAGCACATTTTTCATCTCATGACTGTAGCAGAATTCTTCAAAAGCAAAAGAATCAGTCTATCAACACACATAAACTTGCATGAATGAATCACTCTGCAAGCTTGTAACGAGGAAGAGTTATAGATCCTGAGAATGGTTTTTCTGTATTTTTACAAGTGCTCCTGTGTGACACATTTTGCTACTACTGCAGGCCCTTCCACCTATATTGGAAATGTTATATACTATGTGTGCACAATTAAAACTTTCTTTTTCTTTTCTTTTTTTTAGCATTCAACCTAGAACTGATTAAACCTGTGACCAAAGGTGTGTGTGATGTCTCCATTGCAGTTTGGAGGGGGAGGAGTATGCTAAATCAGAGGAAGAGCGGTGGTTTGCACAGTCATGTTTTCAAGAAGAGCATGTGGAAGAAAAAATATATCATGGATTTCGAGAAAGGGACTGGAAGTTGAGAGGGATCTTCTATAAAGGAGAAAGGGAATACTGCTTAATAATAGATGGGGACATACACTGGCTATTGAACTCAGTAAAAAATGAAGAGTAAAACAATAAGATTTATATAGTGCAAATAAACCTTAAATGGACATAACTATTAAGTACTTTCCAGAGGAACTATAAGTTCCATAGACAATTTTGACCAGGAAGATTTTTTTTTTGTATGTTTCTAATTTGAAAACAAGTACCAGTGATCACTGTAGGGATAGAATAAGGTCTGGAAGTTTCCTTTATCATTACAGACCCTTCCAGGGTTGGACGTTTTTAACCTGGTGGTTATAACTCTACTAAGAGTCCCATACCCAACATCATAGTACCTTGGTTTAATGTCTGGTCCCGATGCTGACCCCAGCTTCTGTAGGTGTGCATCACAGTAGTGATGGCTCAGGTAAGTGGGTCTCTGCCATCCCTGTGGGAGGCTTGCACTGAGTTCCTGGCATTGGCTAGGCCCAGTTCCAGCTGCTGCAGGTATCTGAGAAATGTACCAAAGGACAGGAATGCCTCCCTCCGCCTCTCTTCCTCATCTCTTCGTCTCTCGGATACACAAATAAACAATCTTCCTTTGCTTTGCCCTGTTTTTTGAAGTTTTTTTTTTTAATTAGAAAAGCATATTTACAAAGAGAAATAAAGACAGAGAAAAGATCTTCCATCTGCTGGTTCACTCCCCAAATGGCTGCAATGGCCAGAGCAGGGCTGATGCGAAGCCAGGAGCCAGGCTCTTCTGGTCTCCCATGCAGTACAGGGTTCCAATATTTTGGATCATCCTCTACTGCCTTCCCTGGACACAAGCAGTGAGCAGGTTGGGAAGCAGATTAGCCAGGACATGAACAGGCACACCCATATAGGATCCTGGTGCTTACAAGGGGAGGATTAGCCAATTGAGCTATCGCTCCAGGTCAACAAATGAATTTCTTTTTAATCTTTTTTTAGTTGACTCTGAATGAAGTGTAGTCATTCGATATTCACTTAGCAGGATTCTATCAACTGTGCATAAGAAATATAAACTGCAGTGCTGTATTTTATTAGCAAACATAACAATGATGTGATTTCGGGCAATCTAAAGTTGATGAAAAATCTAGGAACAGATTTTCCTCAGTAAAAGAGTCTCCCATCTGGGTACAAATGAGGACTAATGCAGATATTTTATTATTTAAGATCAATAGGAATCTGTAGGACAGTGACCTTAGCAGCTCATCTACTCTTCATTCCTCCCATTTGTTTTAACACATATGCTACCACGTGCCATATGTTGAGATGGGTCCCAGCCTAAAAAGACGCCTAAAGCATCAACCCTGCTCTTGCTTTCACTTTGACCTGTTTCTTCTCATCAGGTTAGAAAGGCAGAGACACACACACAGAGAATTTCCACCTGCTGATTCTTGCCCTGACTGGCTCAATCTGAATCTCCCCCATGGGTGGCAAGGATCTCCAGTCACTTGCATCATCTGCTATTCCCCTTGGCATGCATTAGCAGAAAGCCGGATTAAAAGCCAAGGAATCAGGACTGGCAAAAGACACTCCAGTAAGGAATACAGACATTCCAAGTGGTGACTTGACAGCTGTATCAGGCATACCTGCCTTTTTATTTTTTAAAAATTTATTTACTTACTTATTGTGAGACAGAGAAACAGAGTGCTGGTGTCTGGTTCACTTCCCAAATGCCCGGAACAGCCATGGCTGGACCAAGCTGAAGCCAGGAGCTGGGACCTCCATCCAGCTCTGACACGGAGGAGCAGGAACCCAACTACACAAGCACCAGCTGTTGCTTACAGGGTGAGCATTGGCAGAAACCAGCAGCAGTTCCAGGACTCCAGCCCCATTACCTTGCCATAGGATGCAGATGAACTACACAGCATGTCAGTCACTGGCCCAAATGTCTGCCTCCATCCTTGCTTTCCCATAGTTCTCCATCTTGTTAAAATCTGACAGATGTACAGGCTAAAAAAAACAATGAAGGAAATGTAATGAGAAAAATTCCGGAAGGAAGATGTCTCACACACCTGTGATTCAGTTTTAGAGAAAAGATTTTAAAAAGATAACTGAAATTTATTTTTAAAACAAATACATAAGGATTGATGTATCCAGGTGACTGATTTATGCAAACTCTCAATAACCTCAAAGACAATTTATTCCTAAGGAATGCAAGGACAGAATAATTTACACAGTGGGGGACTGAGGTGGTTTCTCATGACCTGGGGGGTCATAGTTTAAATCTCTTGCTTATCTTGCTCTTTACACTTGACCTCTGAACTTCGTTACTCCCCTTCCATTTTAGGTTACTCCTAGTCCCTCACTCCCGGGTGGACATTTTCTTCTCAAGAAGCTAAGCCTTGAATTGTCTATACTTCCTGTCTCCTCTCCCTTATCTTTACTGCTTCACATCCTGTTCTCTGTGTGTGTAAATGCAAAAGGACATTGCTTTTAATCATTTCCATGGAAACAACTAATTAACACTTAACCCACTCAATGCAACTATTCTTAACTGCTCGGGAGCAAATCTGTGGAAGGCATATCAGTGTGCTAGAGGTGTTCACTTGTAAAGGATTCACTTATTTTGGCAGGATGTGTGGCTCTAAGCTTCTCCCCCCTTCTTGCTGGCAAAAGAGGCCATTGTATGACCCACTCAGTATCTCTTGCCTGGTTCAGATGAAGTCCCAGCTTCCTGACACGCCCTGAGGGACTGCCATCTGACTGGCTGTGGATGTTCCCTCTACATCCTGACCGCCCAAACACCTCAGGGACTACGGGGTGGCATGGGCTATTCTTTGCCACCTAGGCCCCTCCTCACCGGACAAGTTCCAAACATCCTCCAGGATTCACCACAGGCCTCTCCCTGCCCACAAAGTTTTTTCCTAGAGTGTCCAGGGCATGGCCCCTCTTTAGTCTCACATGCAACCCATATTTATTGCATAGGCAGTATTTATCTGAAGGAGTAAGAAAGGCAAAAACATCATGGAGAGGGGTCCCCTCCAGCAGTCCAAATTCCAAGGCAGGACTAGCACTCTCCTGCTCACCATAAAATGGAACCACTCTAAAAATACATTTGGATGTACACATAAAAATGATTTTTAAAAAAGAATGAAGATGAGAACATCCATCAGACAAAAGGAAGCCATTCCTTGGATTCATGTGGCTTTGCCATGGAAGGATTATGGGTACAATAATTCATCTCACGGTCCCACAAGGTGGATTCTGCTCTCCTCATTCAGCAGGCTGAGAAACCAGGACCCAGAGACGCACCTGCTGCCCTTCCGGGGAACGTGACAGAGCGCGCCTCCCGCTCACCCCATGCAGTGCAGACCCCCACCACTTCATAGCTTGCCACATTGAGGCAAATTAAGACATTAATACGACTCCACTTGTTACATGCTATGTACTTTCAGTGCCCTATTTTAAAAATCTATTTATCTGCAACTCTGCTATGCTAATTAGCTCTACCATTTCCAGACAGTTAATCTGTTATTGGGTGCTACTGTCTTAATTTAGATGCCACTTACTAAATCCTAATTTAGATTCACTCCATTTAATAACATCAACAGAAGTCTTTGCCTTCTAATGTGCTTCACCATTCATCATTGCTTTACATTTTGGGAGTCTAAAACCTGTAATATTCCTTCCATTATATGGGTGGATCTGTACTTCACAGATTCTAGGTTAGCTCTTTTTTAAAGAAATTCCTTGCATATGTCACAGGATATTTATATTCACGCTTGTTCTGTTTTCTCTAAAGTCATCCTTTGTTGGACTTTAAAGTTCACCTAAGGTCCTGTATTGGAATGACCCCTTCAAGGACAAGGAACCATTGTCAAGTGCACTCAAACAGTTGGCAACATTGTCTCATGCACATTTCCTGCTTTCTCTTTTCACCCACCTGGCTCATACCTGTGGGCACTCAGGAGTCACTAAGCAGTTCCCAGTATACATCAGTCTCCAGGCACTTACCAAGAATACAGCGTATCAAAATGCTTGTGGCCAAAATAGAATTGAAAAAGAAGTTTACTCAGGTGAAAAAAATTTATAATGCACACATAGGAGGAGATCTTCCAAAATTCATGGAAACTGGGTTTCAGGGGAAACAATTATGTCTGGATGTCAGTGTGTGTGTGTTTTTCACCAAAATAAACATCTTTTTAATTCATTTCCACGATCTTCTTGTTGTTGTTTGGGGAGGCAGACAATGAGTTCCACTGATTTACTGGCCAAATGTGGCCACTGTGGGGAAATGGACCAGGTTCGAGGCACGAGCTGGAACTCCATGGGAGCCATTCTGCGCCACCTCCCAGGATCTGCACTAGCAGGAAGCTGATGTCTGGAGCTAGAAGGAAGCATAGAACTAGGTAATTCTCATACAGAGAAGAGGTGCTTTACCCTGCTTCTTGATCACTAAGCCAAAAGAAGGTTCTAGTGGTCTCTGGGATGAAGATGGAAGCCCCTCCGTATTCAGTGAAAATTCTAACACAGGTGGGGCCCATGAGAGTAGAAGGACAAGGGCATCAGCAATCACAGCACACCTGGGTTTGGAGTCGGAGGAAAGGATGCTGGGCAGGAGGCCTCCTGATTCCTGAGTCTGCCTCTGCCCCTGTTTACACTTACTTTCTTGAGATCCCCGCCTCCCTCAGCTTGGTTCCTATTCCTTGCAAAGATCCTAGCAGCTTTATCCACCTGTTGAGCAGCAGTGACGAGTGGATGAAAATTCACCTTGTCAAATCTGAAATTGCAGTTTCGGTTAATCTTCCATCCTACTTGGTCCTTCTTAACAGTGGGGAAAGTTCGCTGCAATGTGTGCGTGACAGCACGTTATCCAGTGGGACTAGAAACACTTCTACACACTTTCTGCTCCCCATCTCCGCGCCGTGCGGAGTTCAGGGCTTGCTACTGAGCACCTGCCAGGGAAACACTTGGGCCGCAGTTCCACTGCAGGGGAACAGGACCTGCGTCTCCATGGAGACGCGTCACAGAGCGGCCAAGCGTCACAGAGCGGCCAAGCGTCACAGAGCGGCCAAGCGTCACAGAGCGGCCAAGCGTCACAGGGCGCGTCTCCCCAGCACCCAGGACCGAGGCTTCAGAGTCTTCCACAGCAGCCCGAGCTGAGCTGCGACGGCATCTCGGGGCAGAATGACTCAGCCTGAGCCCCAGGCTGCGTGTCCTTCTGTGTGCGACTCCAAGCTCCAGACAAGTAAGACTTAGGACTCCATAAGTCTGCGGGGGCGGGACCTTGCCCCTCTCCTGCCTGTCAAGCCTCCTCCCTAAACCCATAGATGCTTTAGGACTTCCAGGAAAAGCCTAGTTTAGCAGGGCCTTGAACAGGGAAGCACTAGCTGCCTTTCCAGGGCTCTGGGCAAAGAATACAAGCTTAGCAAACAGCGCGGCAATAGGGGCGGGGGATTAGAGAGCAGGCCAGGTGGATTCGCAGCCCCTGACTCTACTCCCACCAGTGCCTGGCTGGGGCAGAGGCTGGGCCCTCACTCCTCCGGCTGCCAGCAGCTTCTAGCCTTTCAAGAGAGCTGGCATTTAACAGATGGGCGACTCGGTGTCCTCCTACGGCTGCAGCCGCCATGAGTTTCCCAGCTCCACTTTCTGTGTGTGTGGAGGGAGAGCCACTCTCCGCACCAGTGAAGCAGTACCTTGCAGTCAGCTTCCTGCGGCCCTTGTCAGGGCAGTGCTAGGTCCTTGCTGCCACCTGAAAGGATTCACGCTGCTTACCAGGCTCCAGGTCAGAGGACTGTGTTTCCAAGAGTATGCATAGCATGTGCGTTTCTTTCCCTTTCATTCCTTTGTAAATTAAGAATGGATGTCGACTATAATTCATACAGAGACTCAAGCAGCTTTCTAAATGATGGCAAGGCTGGCAGAGGGTGGGGATGTTTGATCCTGGGTTTCTTGCTAGTGCTTTCAAATTCCTTCTCTTTCCTAGCCACCGTGTCTTGGCTTCTTTATTTTTAAAGATTTATTGATTTACTTGAAAAGCAGAGTTACAGAGAAAGAGAGAGACAGAGAGAGATGAAGAAAGGGGAGAGAGATCTCTTTGCTAGCTCACACTTCTAAATGGCCACAACATCTGGGCCTGGGCCAGGTAGAATCCAGGAGCCTGGAACTCTATGCAGGTTTCCCATATGGATGGCAGAGGCCCAAGTACTGGGCCATACTCTGCTGCCTTCCCCAGGTGCATTACCAGGGAGCTGGGTAAGAATAGAGCAGCTGGCACTAGTGTCCAAAGGGGATACCAGCATTGCAGACAGCAGCTTTACTCACCGCACCGCAGTGACCGGCCATCCTTCTTGATTTCTTTCACTGTGTCTTCTCCTCCTTGCCCGGAGGCCTTAGAGTCCATCAATATTAGTCCTGCTGTGATTATCTCCTCCATGTGAGTGACCATTACCCTTCACAGGGCTTCACGTGCACCGATGACCCCAATCTTCAACTCTCACTTGGAATTTCCTCCTAATGTTCAGACTCGAATATCCACCCGTCTCCTGGATTAGTTCCTTTTGGCTGGCACAGAAGAGCCTCCAAACTCAGCAGCCTTGGAGACTTCAAGGAGATTTGCTGCTCAGCTTCCTTGGAACTAGTCCACTCACCCACTCTTCAATTCTACTATTCTAAAGTTTTCCTTCTCCAAGTATTTGACTCTTCCCCTTCAGTGTTGGATTTATTGAAATTGGCTAACTTACAATACTAAACTTGATTATTTAGGCTAGCTAAAACGGACAGTGAAAGAGACAGTGCCCTTAAATCCTTTAGCTCTTCTGATGCTTCCAATAGCCAGGCTGAGTCAGCCTAAGTCAGCGCCTGGCACTCCACCCAGGTCTCCCACATGGGTGGCAGGGACCCACGTTCTGCAGTCATTCCCTGCTGCCTCATGGGGAGCACATTATCAAGAGACCAGAATCAGGAGTGGAGCTGGGACTGCAACCCAGGCATTCCAAAAGGTGCTTTAACCACTATGCTCAAACTTCCAAAACCTTAGGTCTTTCATAGCTACCTTGTGCCAGCCCATCCTCTACTTCTGGGAGAGCCATCCTCCAAGGAGGTGGACTTGATGTGTTGCTTCCAAGCTTTGGTGCAAAAATCAAAAATCATTGCCAATGACTTTGATGACTAATACTGAAATGTGGCTATAGATGGGACTCTCACTGCGTGTGTCACTTTCCTGGGATTGTTATGCAAAGCCACACCTTGGAGACTGGAAACAAGAATGCATTCCTTCCGGCTCTAAAAACAAGGAGTCCAAATGTGATAGTGTAGACAGGGCTTTGTCCCCTCTGGAGGCTCCAGGGGAGAAGCCTTACTTGCTTCTCCCAGCATGTGTTGGCTACTGGCATTCTTGACAGGTGGCTGCAATGCTGTCTCTGCTCCCAACATCACACCTGCTTATTCTCTTCTGCCTGCATCAAGTCTCCCAGTTAGAAAGTCCCTTGTAACTGCACTTAGGGCTCATGATGACAACCCAAGATGACTTTCTTGTCTCTACACCCTTAGTTACCTGGGCAAAAACCCTTTTCCCCATAAGGACGGAGCTACAGGTCATGGAGATTGTCACGTGGACATATCTCTTTGGGAGGCATGGCTTCTGCACACTACAAGGGCTTAGCATTTGTTAATACCTGTAATCCTCTAAACACTATGAGGTTAGAGTTATTAGGTACTGATAATACTTATCTACCAGCTTACTGTGAGAATAAACCAAAAGAATGTCTATGAAAACACTTCAAAAAGGATAATAAATTGTATTAGTTTCTGTTCTATAATACATTCAGAGTTTTATCATAGGAGGGAACTTCAAAAGCTTGTGGAAAATGAGATTAAAAGATAAATTCATTTTGGCGCTAAATTAATTTAAAAGCCACATACAGTTCTTTTTAAAGATTTATTTATCTGAAAAGTGTAACAGCAGAGGATGTGTTGGGGACACACACACACGCAGAGGTATTTCATCTACCAACTGTCTCAAAATGACTGCAACAGCTGGGACTGGTTTGGATCTCAGCCAGGAGTCCAAACCTCCATCCAGGTCTGCCACGTAGGTGCAGAAGCCCAAGTACGTAGGCTGTCTTCTGTGGTTTTTCCAGGTGCATTAGCAGAGATCTCGATTTGAAGCATGGTAGCCAGGACTTGAGCCAGGCACATGAATGTGGTACACCTGAATTGCAAGAGGTAGCATAACCCACAGTACCAGCTTTCCAAAAAAAGTTAAGATCTTAATTACACACAGATCTCAATTTTTTTTTGCACAAGATTTTTAAATTCCACTTCTCATAAAGTTTTGGAATGCCCTTGTATGTTTTTATAGTAGCAAACACTTCCAATGAAGGTAGCCTTGAGAGCAGGTTGGGAGAGTCAGGACAGGCAAATCTCACCAATTCATCACGAGTCCTTTCTTCTTTACTTCAATCACAACGGTTTGCTTGTCATGGCTTAGGTTCTTATACTTCCCACTTTTTTTCTTCTATAAAGTACTTTATTCCATATCTTCCCAGTTCCCTGTTCAACTTTGGTTACTGCTTCATCCAAAGTCCCTTCTGAACCTACCTGTGTGATTTCTTCCTATTCAAGCACAAAAAATCAAAGATTCGTCAGGCTGCCTGTGACACACAGGACAGCAGCACAATTTCAGACTTGTATTCTTGGGACACGGGTGTTTTCCTAGCCTAGGCTATCGCCAAGATGAAAGCCAATGTTCCAGATCCTAGGGCTGAGGACTTGTGCAGAAAGATCAGAGAATGAGGAAAGACAACATCACAGGAAAGGTGGCCATGAAGCTACAGGAAAGGCGTGGAGATTCTACTGGCCCTTGGGGAGAAGTCTAACACCAAGAGAACACATTAATGACAATTTGAAATTTTTCTACTTATTAAAAGGCAAGATCTCTCTCTGTGTTACACACACACACACACACACACACACACACACACACACACACTCACACATCTTCCATCTTCTAATTCAGTCCCCAATGCCTGCAATAGCCAAGGCCAGACCAGCCAGAAGCCAAGAACTCAGAACCTCACCTCTATTTCCCTTGCAGGTGCCAGGGGCCCAAGTACTGAAACAGTCACCTGCCACTTCCTGGCATGCATTAGCAGGAAGGTGGGTCTGAAGCCAACTATCAGGGGCTTAAAACAAGCATTCCAATGAGGGGTGCAAGCATAAGTGGCAGCTTAACCCATTGCAACACACTGTCCACATCTTTTTAAAAATAATGTCTGTTTATTGATTTGTATTTATTTGAAAGTCACAATGACACAAAGAAAGTGAGCACTGTGAATTTTTTTCAAAAAACTTCTCATAATGAAGAGGATCAATTTCAAGGGCACACTTTATTTTCAAAAGAATTGTCAGTGGATGTAGAATGCCAAGAAATACAGACCCAGCAATGATACCTATAACAAGGGGAAAAAAATCATTCAATATAAAATTAAAGGCAATTGCACTGTGCATCCCCATGGATTAGGATTAAGGTGGGGGGGGGGACTAGGGAATTTGTCCTTAGGTAACACAGGGCGAAGGAGCCGGCTTGGCCCAGGTTCTGGAAGCAGGCAGGCAGCCAGCCATGGCACTCTGGCCCTGCAGACTCCTGGAAAGGGAACAGGCACTTGGCGAGTGACAGCTGACAGCTGCCTCTGCTGAGTGGGGGAAAGACTATAGACAGGGCACCAAGAGGGGCAGCTTGCTGGCCCACTTAACTAATGACAAGATGCCACCTGCAGGGCTATTCTGCCAGGGCTTTCGAAGCATATTTGAATGAAGCAGGAAAGTCTTGGCCCAAGTTCATTGGTGAAGTAAGAAGAAGGCAAAAGAATGTATGGCCTCTGCGCTTAGAATCTTTCCTGATCCCCGCCGAACTCCCAGCCCCAGACACTAGCCTGCTTCACCATGTCTTCCCACTGACTCTCCACATGTAAGGTTCTTGTACCAGGCAAGTCCTCACTTCTGATATTGGATAAAATGCATCCAGGCATAAAATGATTCCCTCTACACCAAGAGTCTTGAGTCACTTCCAGTGTAGTGGGATTCGAGAGGAAAGAGCTGGACCAGGGTCAGCCAAATTGCAGTTGTGGACAACCGGGCTGAGGCCTCGATTCACTGGGGGAAACTTCCCAATGGAGGTCACACTTGAACCCATGTGATTGCAGAACAGAGTCACAGATGTGCAAATCTGGCTATCTTACTGGATGTGAAGCCCTGTGAAATTATCAACTGACAACTGTGTGGGCCACAGTTTGTCAGTGTCCCATACTGAAGCCTCCAGTCACAGCGGCTCCACTTCCTGTCCAGCTCCCTGTTATCACTTGGGAAAGCAGCAGAAGATGGTCTCGGTGCTCCTGCCACCCAAGTGGAGTTCTGAGCTGATGACTTAGTCCTGGCTGTTGCAGGCATTTGGGGAATGAACCAGTAGATAATCGTGCTCTCTCTGTGTGTCTGTCTCTCTCTGTGTGTCTCTCTTTCTCTCATTTTGCCTTTCAAATAAATCTTTCACAGAACCTGAAAACAAGAGATTGGGGAATGAATAACATAAACGACAGAAACTGTAATTGTTCAGCCAGGACTCTCTATGCTAGGTAGGTTTATAGAGGGTTTTGTGTGTGTGTGTGTGTGTGTGTGTGTGTGTGTGTGTGTGTGTGTGTGTGTGTTTGTTTTGAGTACTGGGGAATTGAAGACAGGAGCTCTAGCAATTGCCATAGGCTGCAGGAAGAGGAACACATGTACATGAAATGAGGTGGCTACAGCATTGTAGAAATGCAAGCACAGGGCCTAGACAGCAGCATTCTTCAAAAATTAAAGATACTTGGGCAGCTGCTCTGACACAATGTTAAGCCATCACTTGGGACACTCACCATCCCTTTGCCAGTTTGAGGGTCAGCTGCCGTACTCTCATCTAACTCCTTACTAGTGCAAGTGGGAAGCAGCAGTTGATGATCCAAACACTTGGACTCCTGACACCCATGTGGGAGGCTCAGATGGAGCTCCTGGCTCCTGGCTCTGGCCTGCCCATGCCTGGTCATTATGGTCATTTAGGGAGTGAACCAGCAGATAGAAGATCTCTCTCTTTTTCTCATCTTCTTTTCCTCTCCCTCTCTGCCCCACTTTCAAGTACATAAGTACATCTTTAAATACAGACATTTTAAGCCATGTTCTTGTAGAAATATGAAAAGCAATAGTAGCTGCCCAAATAAGAAGAATGAGATAATGATTACACTTTAAGTATACATAGTGAGGAATATGGTTAGTACTGCCAGCTGGATGCCTGAGACCATGGACAGTATTGGATCCCAGATGCAAGCACTGCACCACCTGCCAAGTGACTAATGGGTAGCATCCACAGCATGGACACATTGGATAAAGGAATGAGTTACAGCCTGGGCAGGACTGCAGGAGTTGGTGCGAGACTTCCTGTTGCTTACTCAAAATGGCAGTGATTTAAAATAAAATTAATTCCAGCACTTACCATTTACTGACCACCAGGAACTATCACATTGTTGATGCGGAGGGACTGCTGTGTTACCAAGACTGTATTGAAAACAGGAAGCTATGGTAGATAATTATGGCTGTTCCTGGCCACCTAATGGTACGTGCTCAGCTGGTGTCTTCTTGAAACCATCTGGGAGTGGTTGCCACTGGCAGTCCCTTTCACCTGGAAACCCTTTCTCCATCTCTCTGGCTCTTCCTACCACCCTCTCAGCTGGCTCCTCCTCCTGGCATCAGTCTCCGAACTTCCATAGCTGAACTCCCTCCCTTGTGGATCTCATCCAACTTTCTGGATGTGGAGAACATTGACATTGCACGATTGTGCACGGGCATTCCACAGGATGTATCAGAGCTGCCCCAGCTGAGCTAGCCTAGGCCATTGTCAGTGTCAGAAACACAACAGGATACTTGGTCTCATATGTATTCCTGTTTTTTTGTCAAGTAAAGTGGTCAGAGCTAAAACCCTATTTGCCATTGTATTTACAGATGCCTACAAAACCCTGCTGTGATTACATCCACATGCATACAAGGGTGGAGAGAAATAAACCTAATTGTTAACACGAGCTACTTGGGAGGGAGGAGTGGGGTGGAAGGTGACAGGTAAGGAGGGGAAGAAGGGAGAAGGTATCCAGGAAAAAAAAATTGGTAAATCTAATAGGTTTCCCTGTTGTAGAAATAATTTCATCTTTACAGAGGTATATCTCTTATAGCACATGCAAAATTAGCCACCAAAGTGTAGCACTTTCCCTAGCATCTTGAGTAGACATCATGAGATAGAATTTGAAATGAACTGCTATTGGCGGGGGGGGGGGGGGGGCGGGGGGAGGCGTGTAATAAATTTAACCTGTGGCTTGAATTCCTTAAAACAGCATTCTGAATGCTCAGGAAAAAACAATAGACTCTTTCTGACAATGAAATTAAGCTTCCCTCTTATTAGAGTTTGTTAGTTGACCTTTATTTCTAAAGTTAAATTAATATGCAAAGTATTTTTTGTCTTGCAACATTATTTTGCTGGCTAAAAAAGCATTCAATCAACACAGTCTAGATTGTCACATTGAAAATGATTTTGTTTTCCTGCAGCAGCTGTAAACAACTGGGATCCCTATGCCACCACAATGAGGACAGCTTTCACACCGAAATCAGGAGCAGCACCTGCATTAATTCGGTAGATCTCCAATTCAGATTAATACACACACTCTAATTTGTTCATGTGTCTTCTGTTATTCAGAATCCAAAACAAATAGACTAATTAGAGAAGGCTGATAAAATTGCACTAAGGTGGGGGAGTATCTCTCTCTCTTCTTTCAGGAGACACCCCATCTTCCAGATCCCTCCCAGGAGATGTCTTCCCCCCTGCTTTTTCTTTTTATGTTCACTTTGCAAACAGAACTTATGCTCTGCTTCAAATAAAACGCACTGGGGGACAAATTCCTGTGTACGTAGTTCCCCAAGCACCAGGGAGAGTGCCTCCCCTCTAACAGCAGCCAGTCCTTTTACCAGAAAACCAAGGAAGTTCCCGCCCTAGTTTTAAATAAAGTTACTGTGTGCTGTGGGTTACAACTGGCTCCATCCGTTGGTTCATAGGATTGTGTTACCCAAATGTGAAGTGTGACTTGACTCCAATCCTTACATAGTCACGGGCAGTCAATGAACATTGAACCAATGGTGGAGCCGTTGTCATTATCACCACCACACACAACATTCATCTTAGGGCAAAAAGCCACAGCCTGCCTGTCCTGGCATCCGCCCTCCAGTGATTGCAGTGTCAGCTGCTTCTCATCCACTTCTACCTGCTGTGAGAGCACCACAGCTGCCTTCCTCATTCACTTTCCCCCCAGTGTTTGCCAGGCTTCCGGAAAGTGTTGGGCTCCCAGACTCCTTGTTGCTGAGCTGGTTTTCCTGCTGAAGTGCTTTATTTCCAATCACTGTGAGATTTACCCTCCAACTGTAATGAACACGCCAGGTTCCCTGACAGCCACAGTTATCTCAAGACCTATTCTGGAGGAAAGCCAGAAACAGATTCTACAACAGGGGGTCTTCAAACCCACCTATTTTTAATGTTCTCATGAATAATTCAGCATAAATTTAAATAATTGTAGAATATGAAACTTCCTGGGCTGGCAGGATGGCTCAATTGGCCATTGCTCCATATACAAGTGCCAGCATCCCATATGTGCACTGGTTCGAATCATGGCTGCTCCACTTCCCATTAGGCTCCTTGCTTATGGCCTTGGAAATCAGTAGATGGCGGTCCAAAACCTTGAAACCACACACCCCCATGGGAGACCCAGAAGAAGCACTTGGCTCCCAGCTCCGGATTGACCCAGCTTAGGTCATTGAAGCCATCTGGGGAGTGAGTCAGTAGGTGGAAGATCTGTCTCTCCCTGTCTCTGATAAACCGTCATTTCAGTAAAATATAAATCTTCAAAAAAGAAGGAAAGAAAGAACTTACAGCCTATCCTGAAAACTGACTTTAAAATAAAAATTTCAATAGAACCAGCAGATGTTCTATATGCTTTAGCAAATTAACACTTCCAGAATCCCTGAAAAAAAATGAATAATCAATTTATTTTATTCCTTTTCCTCATTGAACTCTTACTCCCACTCCCCTTTTCCTCCTTCTGTAAGACATTTTATGTTTGAAAGCAATTTATTGATCTGTTATACTTCTTTGTGATTGTTTTAATATATTAATTGAAATTAATTTTTAAGCATGTTCTATGGCTCTGTTGAGTTATCACGGTTGTTCTTAGTGCACAATGGCTCAAAGCAATAAATACATTGCAGTGTTAGTAATTATTAGCTGCAAAGTGTATTTTTTCAGAACTGCATTTTAATAAGATAAATGGGGCTGTTTGTTTTTGCTCATATAGTCAATTTTGAGTGTTGTTTTTTAAATTAGACTGCAATACAGTAGGTATCATTTTTCTGCTATTTTTTTTCCAGTTTCTATTATTGAAGAATCTTGCTCAGGACTATATGTAGATATGAATGGAGGGGATTTCTATACAGCAAGCTTTGTTTTGTTTTGCTTTGTTTTGCTTTGTTTTGTTTTTTCCTAAGCTCTTAAGTTCCACACCAGAAATCACAAAGTGATTTTTAATAACCAATCCACTGATAATATTCTGGTTAGTTTCTCCTTCCATTTTACTGGAAACTTTTCATGCCATAATTTGTCATTTGTATGTTGTGTTAGTCCCATATCAATTTCTGAGAAATATGCTGAAAATCACACCTTAATAAATGACTAAGAAATTACACCTGTTACTCTTTTACTTGGATACAATCTGTTTAATATTATATTCTTTTTTTTAAGATTTATTTTTTTTTTTTATTAGAAAGGCGGATATACAGAGAGGAGAGACAGAGAGGAAGATCTTCCATCCGATGATTCACTCCCCAAGTGAGCGCAACGGCCGATACTATGCCTGACGAAGCCAGGAGCCTCTTCCGGGTCTCCCACGCGGGTGCAGGGTCCCAAAGCTTTGGGCCGTCCTCGACTGCTTTCCCAGCCACAGGCAGGGAGCTGGAAGGGAAGCGGGGCTGCCGGGATAGAACCGGCGCCCATATGTGATCCTAGGGCGTGCAAGGCAAGGACCTTAACCACTGTGCCATCGTGCCGGGCCCTAATATTATATTCTTAAACAGGACTTGAAGAGTGAAATCATTGGTTTTAATGTTTTCTGAGACCATATTTTTAAAATAAAAGCCTTTCTACATCATATAGTTTTAACATATTTTTTATCAAAATCTTGGAAATGAAGGTTTAGCTCATTCAATTTACATCATCTTTACCTGTTTGGCAAAATCAGTTCCTGTCAAACCAATGAGTGAAATTAGGTCTACCTTCCATCACATTAAAATCTAGCTACACTTTTAGGTCAAATAGATATTAACAGGACCCAGCGTGGCAGCCTAATGGATAAAATCCTCATCTTGCATGTGCCAGGATCCCATACAGGCACTGGTTCATGTTATGGCAGCCTGCTTCCCTTCCGGCTTCCTGCTTATGGCCTGGGAAAGCAGTTGAGGACAGCCAAATCCTTGGGAACCTGCACCTACGTGGGAGACCTGGAAGAAGCTCCTGGCTCCTGGTTTTGGATGAATTTAGCTCCAGCTGTGGCAGCCACTTCAGAAATGAACCAGTAGATGAAAGATTTTTCTCTCTCTCCTCTTCTCTGTATATCTGCCTTTCCAATAAAAATAAATCAATCTTTAAAAAATAGATATTAACATATTTTAAGGAAAATTATGGAAACTACTGAAAAATAAATTATGGAATACGTATTTCAGGGAAGATTGTTATAAATAGACAAGAGAAATGTAAAACGAACCAAGTATGAAATGAGTAATGATATCCAAATTAACAAAAGTATGCCATAAAATATGAAGCCAAATGTGTAAGTTATCCATAATAAAAATATTATGGAGCATAATAAAAATACGTAATTTACTTGTCTAAATACGTTCTCATATATATGTAACTCTAATGCTTGAGACTTTTTTGGAGTAAATAACAATTGTGCAAAAATTTCAATTTTATTAGATATCTAAATCAAGCATGTGCTATGATTTAGTAAAAGAGAAAGTTATACATAGGGAACATTAATTGTTCTGACAAACCAAAATATACTTTGATTTGTTATTATATTCATAATAAAACATAAAATGAATATTTGGCTACGTTGGAGTAAATATTTTATAATGTTATCAAGACTAAAAAGAAGGTTCAAATATCTGACTACATGATGAAAACAACCAAAGAATCTTTAAAAACTTATTAGTCTGGGATACATGTGGACCAGGAGTTCAAGACCCCAGTTAAGACCCTAATGGCTCCCTTTGGAATTCTGGGCTCTGTTTCCAGCTTCAGAGCCTCACCCTACCTTCCTGCTAGCTCAGATTTTCTCCTTCTTCTGCTTTTAAGATTTATTTATTTTTATTGGAAAGTCAGATACACAGAGAGGAGGAGAGACAGAGAGGAAGATCTTCCATCTGATGGTCCACTCCCCAAATGACTGCAACTGCCAGAGCTGAGCCAATCTGAAGCCAGGAGCCAGGAGCATCTTCTGGATCTCCCACACAGGAGCAGGATCTCAAGGCTTTGGGCCGTCCTCTACTACTTTCCCAGACCACAGGCAGGGAACTGGATGGAAAGCGGGGCCACCAGGATTAGAATTGGCACCCATTTGGGATCCCAATGCATGCAAGGCAAGGACTTTAGCCACTAGGCTACCATGCCTGGCCCCAGCTCAGATCTTGAGAAGCTCAAACAGCTGGGTTTCTGCTATCCACATGGGCGACTTAGATGAACATATCCATTTCCAAGCATTAATCCCAGTCCAGGCCAGGCAGTATGGGCAGTTGGGGAATGAGCAGGCAGAAGGCAGCTCAGGCTGTCTCTCACATAAAAACAAATCAACACAAAACCAGGGAGAGACCTTGGTAGTCTTGGAAAAGATTGTGGTTACATTTACAGCAGTTGCCAACACAAAGCTGTACAGCAGAGACCCAGACATGCCTTTTATGCCAGCCAAGGTCATGTCTTTGGAGGAATTTTTTGTTTGTTTTGTTTTTCAAAATTTATTTATTTTTATTGGAAAGGCAGATTTACAGAGAGAAGGAGAGACAGAAAGATCTTTCATCCACTGGTTTGTTCTACAAATTGCCAGAATGACTGGAGCTGAGCTAATCCAAAACAGGTCCCAGGAGGCTCTTCCAGGTCTCCCACAGTCTCCAACACAGGTGCATGGTCCCAAGGCTTTGGTTCATCCTCCTCTGCCTTCCTAGGCCACAGGCAGGTGGAGCAGCTGGGACACAAACTGGCACCCATATCAGATGCCAGCACTTGCAGGTGGAAGACTCGCCAGTTGAGTTATCATGGCTGGCCTAGGGGAATGTTTTTAAAAGGCTGAAAGATGTCTGCGCTAATATGTCAAAAGGAGGCCTTTTTAGGCATACTGTGTCTTCTCCTGTCCTCTCAAGGGCCTGTCCTTCAGGAAGACATGATCATTTTGTAATTGTCAGGAGACGAGAAACTAGACTGCACTGTCAGCCACGCCTCTCTGCACCCAAGTTAAGAACACAGGCGGGACTCCCCCGGTTGTAGCACAAACTGGCACTGTACAGAGACACCCATGGCACAGCAAGGTCTGAGCACTTGCCTTGTAGTTGTGTAGAACTTGGGTCATAAGGAGCCTTGTCAAAAATCACTCTGACCCCAATTTCCCCCCACTGGGTGCTCCTCATGGTTGGAAATCTGTTCACTGCAGTGAGATCCTATGGCTGCTTTGAAAAGGATCATAGGGAAAAGTATGTGGAAAGAAAGGAAGTATGTGTGTAACAGCCAAGTTTATTTCCAGCCAGACACTTGTAGGAAATTGAGATCTGGAAATCCATTCCTTTAAAGCTATTTGTGGAATGTGTCTTTTGGAAAATCTTCCATTTACATCTAAATGACAGAGAAATCATCAATCACGTAGATGTTTCCAGCTTCCCAGATGTTTGTCTCTTGCAGGCATTAACCTGAACCTACCCAGCCCCTCCTATTAAAATGTCAGTCAGTAGAGGGGCAGGCATTTAGCCTAGCCTGAACACTTGGGTTCAGATCCTGGCTCCTAACTCCAGCTTCTTGCTAATGCAGACTCTGGGAGGCACCGTGTGATGCTCAGGAGGTTGAGACCCTGCCATCCCCAGAGGAGTCATGCATGGTGTTCTCAACCTCAGCCTGGCACAGATCTGGCCACTGCAGGCATTTGTGGCAGTGACTTGGTGGATGGGACCCCCACCCCCCTCCTCTGTCAGGCTCCTTTTCCTGCCTCTCAAATAGACAATTTTTAAAAAGTCAGTCTGGAGTATATTAAACATTCACAAAGGTGTCTTCAGGTGGATCTCCAGGCATCGCCCAGTTCTAGTGTCATCAACACAGTGGTATTTTTTGGGTGTACCCTGCACCAGCTCTTTCCACTGGAGCATATTGAAGCAATTCCAAGACAGCATATCATTTCAATCCTAAATATTTTATATATGCGTCTAAACAATACCTTAAAAATATATAACAAAACCATTATCTCATCTATAAAAAACATTATTCCTCATTGCCAATCTTCTAACCAGCAACAAAATTTATTAAAGCTGAATAAAAAAATGAATCCAAACAAGGCTCATATATGGCTTTTGGTTGTGTATCTTTCAGTTTATATAGTCCACAGGATTTTTTTTTAGCATTTTCTTTAGTGATAAAACAGTTTCCTTGTTCTGATTTTTCCCTGAATTTATCCCCATGTGCATATTAAATATTCCTCCCCTCATACACCTGATATTCTAAGAACATATTGATTCATGTTCCACTTTCCAAAATATTTATTTGAGAGGGATGGAGAGAAGTGTGGAGAAAGAGGAGAGACAGAAATAGAGGTGGTGGGGGAGAGGTAAATATGTTAGTTCATTCCCCAGATACTTGCAATGGCCAGGGCTGGACCAGGGCCAACGCTAGGGGCTGGGAACTGAGTTCCCGTCTCCCACATAGGTGGCAAGAAGCCCAGCTACATCAACCATCCCTTCTGCTTCCCAGAGGCTGAGCCAGGAATTAAACCAAAGTGCTTCAAGATGGGATGTAGGAATCTTAACCACCAGGCCAAATGTTCATCCCAAATATTGAACAGATGATGTTCCGTGTATCCCTCCAGAAGCCCACCACATGTGAGGTGAATGATCAATGCTGGCCATTATCTTGATGTACTATTTCATTAGGGACTTGCAGATCAGTGATAAGCTGATTATCACAGCTTTCACATTTTTTTAGTTGAAATATTTTCATTTTCCTTTTTTGTTCATTTTATTTTTAATATTGTTTGCATAGTTGAGAGGGATGCACACGATGTAGCCCTCTGATTAGGGTGGGGAGGGTCAGATACCGTGGAAGGTGAATGGGATGCATGTTTCAGTTTTTGCTTTTGTTCCCCTGTATCAGCAGGGGAAGAGAAGGTGGGTCCTCTCTTTGCTGTCAAACTACATCAGCTCCGGAGGATGCAGGAAGCTCATTTGATGACACCTCAGAGATCTCAATGTTAGGAAGAGTGTTCCGAGGTTCTTACTAGGGTGCTTTTGATAGTTTTAAGAATTTTTTTTATTTCATTGCCCCAGGGTTGAGAAATTTTTTCCAAAGATTATTGGTTGACAAAGTCCAAATGTGCGGAACGTTTCATGCATTTGCATGTCATCCTTGCACTGGGGCCATGTTGATCTCTGTTTCGTTCCAGTTTTATGTGCTGCCAAGGTGAGTTCCATTTTCCTATTTTCAGCTGGATTACTTTGGTTATGCCAAAGTGCTCCTTGGGAGAAAACCCAGTTTAAAAAAAACAGCAAAATTAGTTTTGTGTCGCTGGTTTTTTTTTTTCATTTAATACCTCTTAAACTTATGTTAAGAGTCACCCTAAGACACAAGATTATTTCTTTTCAAGAGAATTTGGAGATTAAATTATTTCTGGTATCAAATATTGAGTCAATTGATCTTTAAAAAAACATCTAACAAAACATTTGGTGTGTGTGTATTGCTCTGAGAACTGGCATTTAAGTACTCTAACTTGTACTGTTTTCTTGTAGTCAAAAAAGCATCCGAAGATTAGGATACACCTACTCACTAAGCGACCCCATGCCCAATCAGACCCTGTACAATGATGAATATGTTTGGAAATCATATTCTAAGGAGGACTTGCTCAAAAATGGGACTTCAAGAAAAACCAGGCATCACAAATCCCATCCCAAACAAGTAAGATATTGCCAAGAGCCTGTCATATTCTGTAATCACGGGATTCAAGGTGCTTCTAAAAGTCCTTCCCGCCTATCTTATCCCATTTATTTCTAACTACTTTTCTATCCACTACAGCTTTTTTCTTTAAACTTTAGAAAATGGAAGCACAATTCATGTAACATGAAATGTGAACAATTTATAGCACTCAGTTCTTTCACATTGTGTCATTTTCATCATACAGCAGGAAACTATATCCCTTAAGCAACTCCTCCCTACTCTCCCATCTCCCAGGCCCTGGAAACCACCGATCTGCTTTCTAAGGCCATGGATTCCCTATTCTGGAGGTTTACATGTGGAGTCACACAATGGGAATCTTTGGTGCCTGGCATCTCACACCTAGGAGGACATTTTTTAAGGTGCGTTTGTCAAGTAGCAAGTGTCTGTCCTCCCTTCCTTTTCATGGTACCACAGTCAGTCTATTCATGTACCTACTGATGGAAGTGTGAACTGATCCTACTTTTTGGCTATTGAAAACAGTGTTGCTATGAAAAAGCATGGGCAAGCCCTGGTGTTTGTTTCACGTATTCTCAAACCTCCAGATCTTTATCATTCTTTGTCTCTGTGTAAAATGCCCTCCTCTTGTCCACCAGGAAAACTGTGTCCTTTATAAGTAGGAGTAAGTAAAGATAGCCATTTCTTGCTCCCCTTCTCACTGGGTGCAAGCAACTGCTCTCCCCTCTGCTTTCTTGGCACTGTGCACTGGGCACCAAAGGCAACACTCACTTGCAGTATGCGGCTTCATTTCCTTGACTGCCTTGGGGGCAGAGTCACTTGGATACATGCAATATACCAAATGGTGGTAGAATGGACAGGTTCTGGTGACCAGAGTGACAAAGAAGAGGAAAGAGGGAAGGATGATGACCTGGATGATGGGATGCATGTTGGGTTTACTTAGATGGACCAGAGTGGAAGATCAAGTTGGGAAGGAAGGAAATGGAGCAAAACATGAGTTTAGTTGAAATTTTGTTTGTTGATTTTTATGTGACTATCAGGTAATTGAACATACAGGCTTAGAGCTCCAGTGAAAGAGATGGGCAGGCTGGAACTTTAAACTTGGAGTCATTAGGATATACCCAGAGGCCCTATTAAACTTGGCTTCTCAGAGCACCCATTTATCATCTTTTACCTCAAATATGCTCCTGCAAATTTTAAGTTAAAATCTGTGGGCCAAGCATGATGGCTCAATTGGCTAATTCTCCCCATTGCAAGTGCCTGGATTCCATATAGGCACCAGTTGGCATCCTGACTGCTTTATTTCCCATCCAGCTACCTGACTATGGCCAGGGAAAGCAGCAGAGGATGGCCCAAGGATCCTGTTCTCCTGCATGGGAGACTCAGAAGAAGCTTCAAGCTCTGGACTGGCCCAGCTCTGGCCATTGCAGTCATTTAGGGGGTGAATCAGCAGACAGAAGATATTTCTCTCTGTCTCTCCTCCTCTCTGTATATCTGACTTTCCAATAAAAATAAATCTTTAAAGAGAGAAAGAGAGAGAAGAAATGAAGACACTGATGGCAACCACTGAGTAGCAAATAAAGAAGACCTTGAGACTGTGGTGAGAGAAGCAAATATGATAAACTAAAGTAGACTAAAGGGAAAAGAGTTCAGAGGGCCCAGGGAAAGTTACACAGAAGAGCACAGGTGCCCCAACAGAGCAGAGGTAAGTGCAGGTGCAGTGTGTAAAGGTTGGGGCAATGGGCTTCGGGTTTCTCAAGGTGATAGGAAGCAAGGTATGAAACAGGGAACATGGAAAGAGGGGGTAGACGTTTCAAGTATAATATAAATTTTAAAATCTGCTTAGAGACAGAGAAGGTGCCTTCCTCCCCATTCTTCAGGCTGCTCCCAAGGCCTCTGTGGAGAGACAGGGAAGTGCGGCCACTGTCTCTGTCAGGTCTAGAATTTGCATGTGAGTTTTCTTCTCTTGGTTTTTCTTAAATCACTATTTTTCTCCTAGCTGAAAAGAAGGGAGGGAGATGTCCTCTGGTTTACTTCCTAAAAGCATACAACAGCATGGACTGGACCATGTCCAAAGCCAGCAGCGAGAGCTCCATCTGGGTCACCTGTGTGGGTGGGAAGGGACCAAGCATTTGAATCATCATTTGCTGCCTCCAAGGATCATTAACAAGAAGTAGAATGAAGTGGTGGAACTGGGGCTCCCTTCCCAGGTATTCCAATATTGGGACTGGAAAAACCTCCTGTAAGAATTCTGGTTGAATTCTGGTTGAATTCATCATCAATACGAAAATTCAAAAATGCACCAAGTGCCTGGTTTACAGCTAGGGAAGCCAACGGCTCCCAGTGACTGGTTCCCCGCATACCAGTGTGGTGGGTGGGTGTAATGGATCTTACAGACTCCATTTTCACACACATTGGTAGTCTCTATTCCATCGGAATGAATCTACATGAATTTTCTTGAAACCTGTGTTTACACTGTTAGGACTTGTTTCTGTGGACACTACCTAAAGGCCAACAACGGACAGCACTGAAGAGCTGCCTGCCTTGGAAAATCCCTGCTTCGGTGGAGGAAGTTAGGCAGGCGCTGTCCAATCAGTTTGTTTCCTGTACCAGGAGAGACTTTGTGGATGTATCAAAAGGTAAACCTCTTTGCTCTTCTCTTTTCCCTGATCATGAGCTGGTCCTGGGTGGCCGCAAGGAACTCACAGTCTATATGTGACACAGGCAACTTTACAAACACAGTCGGGTATAAAAGGGTGTATGGGGTAAGAAATGCAGGTTGCTGTGGCTGTAGAGTGGAACGTGAAGCCTAATGAGGTGGAGCACCCAAGGACAGGTCAGAAAAGGTTTCCCTTCCTGAGCCTGACTGACACAGAGTCATCAGCTGAGCAAAGGCCTAGGGGAGACTGCTGTTGCAGGATCCCTAAGCCCTCAGTGACATTTGAAGAACTTAGAATGAGTGGGATAGACTTGGAGGTGTGGATGGAATGAGGAAAAGCAATGGCGTGGGCAAAGATAATGCAATCTTGAAAGATGCCATAATGCATGCTAGGGAGCTCAGGGCTTGTCCCAGGAGTGACTCAAAAGTTTTTACAAAGGGAGTGACACAGTTGAGCTGTGAGCTCCAGAAACCTCCCCTCTGGCTGCAGAATGCAAAAGGGTGGTGGTGGCTGGAAGACAAGGCCCATCAGAGCCTGCTCAGCTAGTCCAGGAGGTGCGTGGTGACATGGAGCAGGGCAGGGGCATGCATCTCAGGCCATCATGTGATGGCATGGGCATTTTAGGAGATAAAACACTCCATAAGTGGGGACTGTGGCTGTTGGGGACAAATGACGTGGAGTCACAACATCCATTCCAGTGGGTTCCTCATGGATGATGAAAAGAAATCATGATTGAACAAATGGGAGAATGGGAAGGGTGTGATTGACAGGTGTTATGAGTGGAGCCAGCATGTTGACAAGTGGGCTAAAGGCTTTGAAACAAAGCAGTCTGGCTCCCTTTGTTAAAAATACATTATCCACAGTTAAAATTCTTTAAATGATCAAGTTATACACATTGCTTCCCATTCATAACTTTGTGGTTACTGAAAATTACAATTTAATTTTATTAAACTTTGATTACTCAAGAGTTTATGAGGAAATAATAGCTGTTCTTTTTACCCTGCTCCACCTTCAGTCCTAGCCCCATTTCCCATTGGTAATAAATTCAGTCCTTCTATTTTTGTCTCTTTATGTGATCCTTCATTTTTAAAAACATTTTATTTTTATTTGGAATGCAGTTACAGAGAGGAGACACACACAGAGAAAGAATCTGACATCTGATGATTCACTTCCCAAATGGCTGCAACAGTCAGAACTCAGCTGGTCTGAAGCCAGGAGCTTCTTCCGGATCTGCCATGTTGGTACCAGAGCCGAAGGACTTGAGTCATCCTCTAATGTTTTCCCATGCCTCAAGCTGGGAGCTGCATTAGAAATGGAGCCACTGGGACATGAACCAGTACCCAAACAGGATACTGGAACTGTAGGCAGGGGCATCCTCAGTATTTGTTAAATCATTGCTTCTATGGCTATTCCTTGATCTCATCAATTTTAGGTACTGTTTTACAGTAGTGGAGGATTTGGCCTTCCCATGCCTCTTATTGCTTCCCCTCCTTCTATCATCTCAATAGGCTTATGTTCACATTCATTGGCTAAATTGAATTGCTAGCATTTGTATTGTGATTATGATTATATGACATACTGGAAATCACAATGTGATAATTAAACATTTCTTGTTGAGTTAGATTGTATTTCATCATATTTTATATATATATGTATATATATATATTTTTTACTTTTTCTTCTCTGCTGTTTTCTTTTTACAAAAGTTAATGATTGGGGCCCAGCAGGAAGGTGTAGCAGTAAAGTCCTCGCCTTGGACATGCCAGGTTCCCATATGGGCACTGGTTCTAATCCCAGCAGCCCCGCTTCCCATCCAGCTCCCTGTCTGTGGCCTGGGAAAGCAGTAGAGGATAGCCCAAAGCCTTGGGACCCTGCACCCAGGTGGGAGACCTGGAAGAAGCTCCTGGCTCCTGGCTTCAGATTGGCTCAGCTCCAGGCGTTGCGGCCGCCTGGGGAGTGGACCATTGGATGGAAGATCTTCCTCTTTGTCTCTTCTCCTCTCTGTATATTTGACTATCCAATAAAAATGAATAGATCTTTTTAAAATTAATAATTAACCTTTTCTCTAACTTTCTATGAACTTGTCTGCAATTTTTCCTGAATATTTTGCAAGCACAGTTTCAGACCGTGTAGCCATACTGAGATCAGTGCTGAAGATCCTTGCTGACACCTTTCATTCTTCTCCCGTCTGAATTTGTTGCTCTGTGGATTTCTTGGCCTCTCATGCCCTGGGACTTGCTTTTTCATGATTCTGGGAACTTCTCTCTTTTGGCTGGGTTCCCCAGCTTCCTCACTCCAGCTCTTCTTCCCCCTCTTCCTCCCCATCCCTTATTTCACTGCAGTATATGTTTGGATAGCTTCCCAAAGAAAAGTGCATGGGAGGAATTTTTTTGTTTGTTTGTTCTTGTCAATCTAGAAACATCACTTTCTTCATTACATTTGTGGGATAGCTTAATTGGACATATAACTCTAGGTTGATAGTTATTTCCCTGAGAATGTCCTCTGGCATCCAGGATTTCCATGTTGGAAGCTAATGCCACCTTAATTCCTTAACCACTGCGCCACCGCGCCGGGCCCTAATGCCACCTTAATTCCTAATCCTTTCGTGTTTTCCCCTTCTGGAACACTTCAGGCCTCCTCTTCGTTTCTTACATTCTGGAATTTCACTGTTATGGGTCTTAGTAAGTTTTTTGTCATCATGCTAGGCCTTCAGGTCCTTTTTAATTCATGATGACCTAAAATAATTTTCTTCCTATGTGAGTTCTTTATTTTTTTCTCTCATCTCTGTTCTCTGACTCTTGCTAATTGGATTGATCTTCTAATTTTCTAATCTTTCCCAGTATCTTTCTATTTGTACTTTATTCTGTGTATTTGAAGACTCTTTACTTTTTAATATAGCTCTTTTATTGAGTTTTTAAAAATCACTTATTTGAGAGGTGAAAAAATGGGGGCCAGTAGAGAGAGAGAAAACTCTTTTACCTAGTGTTATGCTCTCAAAACAATTGTAATGACCAGGTTTGAGCCAGGACTGAATCCAGGAGCCAGGAACTGGATCCAGGTTTCCCATGTAGGTGTTAGGGATCCAAGCACTTTGGTCTGGAGCCAGGAACCAGAGCTGGGAATCAAGCCTACGTCCTTCGATGTGGGACTTAGGCATCATAACCAGTGTCTTAACTTCTGGGCCAGACATTTGCCCTTAGTGAATTTTTAATTTTAGTTCTCATGTTTTTAATTTCTAAGTACATTCTTCCTCTTTTTCATTATTTTTTAAAGAACATCAACCCATTATGTTATAAGCATAGTAGTTATCTTAAAATTTTTAGGATACTTAAGCAATACGCTAAATGTTTATCATGTTCACATGTTCCTGGCATTACGCCTAGTTTCTCTGAGAACCTTGCAGTCTAGTAAAGCTAATAAAACTTAATCTTCCTTCTGTGGGCTTTTCTTAAAGTAGATCTACTCCTAATATTAAGCCCCAGAGCTCAGAAAACCTACAAAGGAGGTAGGTACACAGCTCACGGCTGCTGGTTAACCACACAGAGATACTTTCCAGTTCCTTCTCTGGATTATCAAGGTGCTGCCCGATGCACCCATGGAACGGCCTCAATATCCCATCTTGCTCCATCCTCTTTACTGCAGTTTTCCAGTCACATTGACCACATTTCAATTCCTGTGCAATTCCCAGCCTGTAATGCTGTTCCCCAATCCCTCTGTGGATGCATTTGGTCCTTCTGTAGACCCCAGCCTTTACATCCCCCTCCTTGTGAGACATTTTCCCTTCCTATGTTATCTGAAAAGCCATGTCGCTATCCCAGTGGCTTTCACCTGGCAGTTTGCATTTGAAAATCATGTGCTACTGATTCTTGCCTTTTGGTTGTTTTTGTTTTGCTCTTTCTTGCATTATTCACTCAGTAAGCTCCCCCTCCCCGAAGGTCTTCATTCCCCTAGGGCCTGGAGCAGTACCTGGTACATAGAAGTAAATGCCTGATGAGGGGTAGGGAAGATATAAAGGAGGTTTCTGTTTTTTAAAAGTACTGATTAGTTTGAGAGGCTTGCAGAAAGAGAGAGACAAGGAAAGCAATGGTCCATTCACTGGCTCACTCTTTGAATGCCCACAATGCCCAAGGCTGACTTGGAATCAAGGTTGGGAGCTGAGAAATCAGTTCGGGTCTCCTGTGGGAGGGCAGGAACCCAGCTGCTTGAACTATCCCTTCTGCCTCCAAGGGTCTGAATTAGCAGGAAGCTGGAGTCAGGAATAGGAATCAGGAATTAAATCCAGTGACAAACATGGAACATGGGCATCTTAGCCACTAGACTAAATTCCTACTCCAGGAATTACCCTTTTAAAAAAAGATCTATTTTTTTTTTTAAATTTTAAGACAGTAATACAGTGAGGGAGAGATACACAGGGAGATCTTCTATCAGCTGGTTCACTCGCCAAATGGCAGCAACAGCCAGAACTGGGCTGGTCTGAAGCCAGGTGTCAGGAGCATCTTCCAGGTCTTCTATATGGGTGCAGGGGACCAAGATCTTAGGCCATTCGACACTGCTTTCCCAGGCCATTAGCTGGGAACTAGATCAGAAGTGGAGAAGCAAGGATTTTAACCAGCACCCATATTGGATGCCAGCACCGCAGGCAGCAGCTCTATCCATCGCACCGTGATGTCAGTCCCCGAAGTACCCTTTCGGAAGTTAGAATCTCACAGAATTAAAAGACCTCTGCAGATAAACGTTATGGGCTGTGGAAGAATCACTTGAAATGTCAGCATTCTTAAAAGGTGTCTTGGAGCTTCTGGTCAAAGTCATTTACTCAGTGTGAGTAAGTTAGGATTTCCCTTGCGCAGACAAATAACTTACACATGTCAAGACTCCCTCTAAATCTCTCACCTCCATCTGCTTCACTCTGCCCCCACAGCCCTGGCTTAGCTCAAGCTACCAATGTCTCTCTGAGGGATGACCTCCAAGTCTCCTTTTCAGTTTTGTTCCTTTACCCCAATCTCATGCTACTTTCATCATGTTTTTCTGGATGTGCTGATGGTTGTCACCGTATGGCTTATACCCCTTCAAGGAATTCCTGTTGTCCTGAGGGTTAAAGCTAAGAATCTTAACCTCTATGATCCGTATCAACTGGTCCCTGCATGGGTCTTGCCCACCCATGACAACACCTGTGTCCATGGACAAGACCACTGTCCCTACTTCAGACCCACTGTACCCCTGTGGTCTCATTGCTTCTGCCCTGGGGAACACTTTTCCATTCCTTCTTGCAGCCTATAACTGATTTCCCATAATTTTATTCTTAGAAGTGTGCTTTGTTGATCTCCTGGTGGCCATTTCTGATCCCCAGCTTTGGGCCATCCTTCTCTCGTTCTGTAGGGCTCCTCATGTGACAACTGTCACAGTCTATTTTTATGTGTCACTAATACTTTTAGTTTCCTGTTGTAGCTTTATAGCCTCATTGTTGAATTCAGGCAGAGGAGTGATGAGAACTAAAAAGGGCTCACTTCTACATTCACGCCTGGAGAACTTGGCTTGGATCAGCTAGATCTGCTGATGAAAGCAACAGAATTAGTTCTCACTTGGCTGTGGATTATGTATCCATGGTCCTAATGACTCAGAATGGTCTTTGCTTAAGCTTTAAATTATGTATTTCTACAGATGCTACACCTAGTTTTTAAAAAGAATTATTTTGAAAGAGAGAGATATAGGGAGAGCCAGAAAGACAGAAATATGCACAGAGCTCGAGAGTGCCCCGTCCATGGCTTCACTCTCTAAATTCCTGCAGCAGCAAGGATTGAGTCAGGCAAAAGCCTGGAGCTGGAAACTCAATCCAAATCTCTCACGTGGTAGCAGGGACCCAGTGTCAACCAACACCTGGTGCTGCTCATGATGTGCACTAGCTGGAAGCTGGAAATGGGATCGGAGCTTGCACTCAACTCAGTCACTCTGATACAAAAGGCGGCTTTATCAAGCAGCTGCTTAACCTCCTAGGCAAACCACCACCCCATACCCAGTCTTAAATGGGCTGATTTCTTTCCTCTGGGCAAACTAGTATTGTATCATAGTTGGCAGAGAGAAAAGAAAGAAGCCAAGGGATGTGAGCCTTCAAGGGTCAGGGATGTTACCTGAGGCAGCCTACGTATGGTTGAGCACGGAAGTCAGATTAGCTCTGGATTCTGGTTTTTTTCTCTGTGTGTGTCAACCCCACTAAGGGGCTTTAGGTTTTGATTGGCTCTCTGAGTTGGGAAACTTTTCTAAGTGACTCCTGCATTAGCTTACTAGCATGAGGTTTTCTAACAGCTACAAGAGCCCCAGCTGGAAAGAACGGTGCACACTTGGCAAAGAACACTGCATAGTTAACCAGGAGTCTCAAGAAGCATGCATCACATGGACGATCAGTAGCACATGCTCAGATACTGCTCATCCATAGTAATTTCATTCCTACGTTTTTGTTGCTCATTAATTTAGTAAAGAGTTCATGAGACCTAGTCCTGTGATAAGTACTGAGGATCCTGGTCATAAAAGGAATTCAAACCCTGGATCCCAATTTAGTCTTCTCTGGGTTTTCCTCTTCGCCCTCCTCCCTATTGGCTCACTGTGGATCATGTGCCTTAGACACCTGGGACCCAGCCCTGCTGGTGCCAATGTGGCCTCTCCTGCTTCCCCTCATGCTCCTCTCTGCCCGCTGTGCCAGCATCATCACCATATTTCAAACACACTCTATGCATGTTCAGCTTCGGTGCTGATGCCCTTGGCTGTGTCTGCCTTTCCATCCCATCCCTCCTCTCCAAGTCCCCACACAGCCCATCCCTCCTTCTCCCTGGGCTTCACAGCACCTGTACAGAGCTCCAAGTCAGCATGTTTAAGCACACAGGCAGTCTCATCACAACGTGAGCCCCTAGGGTTCATGTCAATGTCTGCGGTGAGATGCAGCAGGTGTGTTTAGAGCTCCTCCTCCAAGCAATCCTGATTTCCCACTGTATGAGGGTTGCAAGACTTATCCCACTCAGTATCCGTTCATTGTGCAGATGAATTCCAATCACACATCTTGGGAGAGAGCAGTGACTTCATTGTCCATAACCTTGACGTGTCACACAGAACACCTGCAAGAACTGAAAATATTTCCTGCTGAAGGGTGGTTCCAGGGGAGTCACAAGTTTCAAACATTTCAACAGAAACTCTTCTACAAGACTCCAGGCACTAGTAAATGACAAAAACCAAGTGATATGTGGAAGTTCCCAGAATCAATGTCAGAAAGTTTCAGAAATGTCGTCAAGTGCTGCCACTAGTCAGAATGTTGGAGCTTTAGTGTCTGAGGTGGGTTGTGAGGGCCCATGGTACCTGTGTCCTCACTCCCTGGGGGAATCCAAAGTAAGAGACAGCAGTTTGGGGGAACCCTCTCCTCTCTTCCGTGGGTCTAGAAGGTGATCAATATGAAATGCTCTCAACTGCTGGTAGATGCAATTATGCATCCCTCTGCATGCAATGTATACCAGTAGATGCCATCACAAATCACTTGTTAAATGATGCACATTAGGATTTATTCTGCAAAGACCACTGCAAAACTAATTAGAAAGAGAATTGAATTCTACATCGATTGTAATTTGCGCTGTTCGTACATTGCTCATAAAACTTGTGTTTTTAACAGCTTTGTCCTTTTGAGTAAAGAGTGTGTGTGGCATATGATGGGTCTCTGAACTGAGACTTTGCAGTCAAACTTGGAAATGAAGTCATTGTGAGTGAATTGCTGCATCATTCTGTGTTTGGAATTGGGCCTGCTGTTTGACCAGTGTTTCATAGATTTTAAGGATCATACAGTTAATGAATGTTACTGTCAAATGATCCTGTTATTCTAAAGACAGTGATATCACCTACCTTTTTCATCAATAAGGACCAAGATTCTGGTAGTTCTTATCCAGGTGAGGGGAATAATACGTGTCATTCCATCCTTCCAGGGCTGCCTGATTAAGCAAATAAGAAATATGGGGTCCCGGTTAAATGTGAATAATGCTGCACAATAGAAAATGGATACCTAAGCATATTTACACTGAAAAAATTCATTGTTTATCTGAAGCTCAAATTTAACTGATGTGGCTCTCCTAGCCATACCCAGCCAGAACAGCTCTCACTCTGGCCTCCCGGCTGTACCCAAAGGACCGGGCAGATCCGGTGCAGTAATCAATGCCTTCTGAATTCACATCAAGCACAATCAAAGAGCACTTGTCACAGGGACACGAATGTATCCATCCGAACCACTACCATGGAGCAGTAGGTTAAGCCACCTCTTGGGATGCCCATGTCAGCATGCCAGTTTAAGCCCTATTCACTCCACTTCCAACCCCATACCTTGGCCATAAGCAAGGCCTGTGAAAGCCATGAAGGATGGCACCCCATAGGAGACCCAGAAGACGCTCCTGGCTTTTGGCTTTGGATTGGCCAAACTCTGGCCATTGTGGCCAACTGGGGAGTGAACCAGCAGGAGGAAAGTCAGTATATCTTTCTCTCTCTACTTCTTTTACTTCTTTCTGTAACTATGCCTCTCAAATAGAAAATAAAATAGACATAATAATTTTCTTTAAAATACATTATTACTCCAACAGAACAATAGTGAAAACAATATGTATGTTTTCAGAATATATCAATTTTGTATTAGATGTTTTTACACTTTACTTGCATTGAGGATTTAAATAAAAACTAACATCAAATGAAAAATAGAAAATTGACCATTTACAGACAATGAAACAGGATATACTTTCATAATGGTAATTATATATCGACTTCTTGTACTCGATATATCAGTTACCACAAATCAAAAAAAAGCATAATATATTCCTTTTTGGGTCTGGATTACTTCTCTAAGCATTAATGTCTTTAATTGCATATATTTGTTGCAAACGACAACATTTTGTTCTTTTTCTGACTGAGTAGTATTCCATCATGCATATGTATCACAGCTTCTTTATCCATTCCTCTGCTCATGAGCCTCTGGGTTGATTTTAGGCATCAGCTCAGTTGAGCTACTGTAAATATATGAGGTACAAGTAGCTCTTTTATATGATGTCTTCATGTCTTTTGGGTGTATTCCAAGGAATAGCTGAATCATAAGGTAGATCTGTGTTTCAGTTTCTGAGGAATCACCGTACTGTCTTCCGCGATGGTGTACTGTTTTGCATCCCTACCAACAGTGTGCTGGAGGACATCTTCTCCACATCCCTGTCAGTATTTGCTATTCTTTTGATTTGGGGAGTAAAAATTGTTATAAAAGAGAGAGAAAGAAACCACTCTTAACCATGTGGGTATGTGAAAGTGCTTCAAGAAAGTTTATGGAAAATGGAATTAAAGATTACTATAATTTAGTGCAGGAATTTTGAAATCCTTACAGGTGTCTTTTCATCACCTGTGTTTTTCATGAAAGATTTTCATCCATTTTTAAGAAGTTATTTTTATTTCAGAGAAAGAAAATGACTTGCTGATTCATTTCTCACAAACTTACAACATACAGGGCTGGGAACCCAACCCAGGTCCAGTGTGGGTGGCAGAAACCAGACCACCTGAGTACTGCTGCTGCCTTCCAGGTGCACATTAGCAGGAATCTGGGGTCAGGAGCCAGAGACAGGAATTGAACTCAGGCACTCTGATGTGAGTGTGTGCATCTTAACTTCTGACTTCCTGCTGCTAAACTTATCTTCTAATTCAATTTTTGTGTACTTACTGAAGTATGCTTATATTCTGTCTGTGTTTGACAAAGCCATAAGTTTTTTTGTTGTTGTTGTTGTTAATATATGCATAAAAAGTGCTTTGATTTTACCTACAAATACAGGAAGAGTGGGATTTAGTGGAAGTCATTGGAAGCTGCTGCCACCAGCACTGCAGAGTGCAAAGCTCACTACAAACAGCTGCTAGGAATCACCATTGCCTCTGCTTCTACCCCTACCCCAGATCAGAAGGTTAAGGAAAGTTCACCAGTGTCTCTGGAAAGGAAAAAGTTGATCCCCCGACCACTCGACACCGAGTTTCAACGGAATTATCAAACTCCAGCTAAAATCCCAGAGCTGCAGGATTTCAGCTTCAGATACGGGTGCTACTCAAGCTTGCCCATCGCTTCTCAGGGTCTAGGTAAGTGTGCCTGAAGCCTGGAACCAACATCATGGGGCCCATGCCTTGCTCCAGGTGCCTCTATGCAGACAGCCGTGGCAGCCAGTTTTGACTGCAGGGATGGAGAAAGAAACTGTAGAAAGAAATGATTGTAGAAAGAAATTGGAGTCCGGGTCATGGATGTGGCTGCCAACATCAAACCCAGCAGATGAGGGCTGATTGCTTGGGCTGTGACTCCTCAAAGCCCCTGGCTGGAAAGGACAGCGGTAGAGGGTAGGGACCACTTCCTCTTTGCATAAGGAAGGACCAGTTGCTGTGAAGTGACAAAAAAAGACTGGATAGAAGTCAGAGAAGACTTGTCAGTTATCCCCCTGTTGGGTCTGCACAGGGTACACCTGACAGGCATGTCCAGATTTGGCATCCACCACTGAAGGGACTGTTCTTTGTGATCCTCATTCTTAGTGTTTCCAACATGGAAGTTTTAAAAACGTCATGACTGTGCCACCTCCAAGCTACTGGTTAGAAAGATAACTGGATGTTTGTCTGCATCTGACTTATTTCTGAGTGCAGCTGGGTTCAACCAGTACTGGAAACTTACAGAGCAGAGGCTTAGCAAGTGGTGAAGGCAGGACTGAAGACTCAGCAAGTGGGGAAGCTAGCTAGCCCAGGAACAACCAGTCTAGAGTCTCAGGTCATGTGACAATCTCCTCCATCTGTTGGCCCATGATTCTGCCCCTGGCACAGTTCAGGAGAGCACCACTCCCTTAAGGCAAATCTTCCATTGTCAAACGTCCAGCTAAAAACCCAACAGTTTAAGTAGTTCTTGCTCAAATACTATCTGTTGTTGGTTCTTCTTCCAATTGAAGTCCACTGGTGTAACTTGCTTCATGAAAACCTCATCATGTACAGGTGAAACTCATGACAGGTCACGCATACACATTCCCTTTTCCAACTAAGACACATTCTTCTCAGGATGTAGCCTCAAATCTCTTATGCTGGGTCCCTCCATTGGACCAACAGCTCCTTCCAAGGGGACACTTAGAACTGAAAACTGTAGCTAAAATGAATTGTTCAAGTTTACAACAAAGATTGGGTAAGCTGTGAAAATTGGGTTTTCACTTCATGTCTTTGTTGATTTTTTTCATGACATTCCATGAATATCAGAGCCCACATCAAATGAACATTATTTAGAATCAAATACAAGTGATTTGGTCTGTCCACACCTCACATATCATTATCATTCTCCCAAACTGCTTATTCTAAAATAACCAGTGCCCAGAGTGGTCTCTTAGTGTACCAGGAGATGCCCTGACAGAAAAAGAAGCTTCCCTGTGGCTGTTGGGTATTAGACAAGTGCCTGGTGGACACTGCCACCCTAACATAGTGACCTGCAGAAGAAATGAGTTCAGAAAGAACTTCCATTCTGAAAATGATGATCAACCTTGACATGCAGTTGCCATCTCCCACTCCCAACAGCTGCTGTCAAAAGTCCCAGCTGCTCAGTAGAGCCTGTCAGTGGAGGAATCTGTAGAATGGGGTACTTGGGTTGCAGTACCATGAAGGAAGCTGATTACACTCCAGGCAGGGCAGAGTGTGTTTGCTGAGTTTGGCACCTCCCCTGTGTGTTCTGTAGTCCCCTCTGTGCTGCACAGCTTCATGAGGAATCAAGAACGCACCAAGAAGCAGACCATATACCAGAGTGACTACGGGAAGGATTACCTGGACGTCTTAATGATCTTAAACTCCTTTAATCCCTCCCAAATCAAAGAGTACCTTCAGGGCATTTCCTTCAAAGGTAAGATGAGGTTTGAAGTTATCATTTTGTGCATTTACAGATTATTATTGTATGCCAAGTAGTAATTGCTTCAACTTCTTTAAAAAAAGATTTATTATTTATTTGAAAGGCAGATGACAGAACAGGAAAGAGACAGAGATTTTTCATCTGCTGGTTCACCCTGCAAATGGCTGCAATGGCCTGGGCTGGTCCAGGCTGAAGGAAGGAGCCCGGAACTCCACATATGTACCAGGGATCCAAGCACTTAGTCTCTCCTCCACTGCTTTCCTACGTGTTTTAGCAGAGAGCAGGATCTCAAGTAGAACAGCCAGGCCCTAAACCTGTGCTCCAATATGGGATGCTGGTGTCAAAAATGGTGGCTTAACCAACTGCACCACCACACTGGCCCTAACTGTTCCAATTTCTGTCCATTCAAGTTGAATACCTACAAAAAGAAAAACATTGCCTTAAAAATCCCATTTACTGTGTAAACTTGAATCCACTGGTTTTAAGGATAGCTCTCATTCACTTTTGGTCTCCTCGTACCTATGCTTGACTTGCCTGCAGACATTTCTTTCCTACCACTGACTGACTTCTCCAGCAGACGCGGCACTATCTGACAGCTTTGCTGTATTCCATTGAATCTTGATTTCTTGTTTGGTGTGGTACTTTTTTAGGATAGGCTTTTTAAGATTTGCAAAAAAAATTCCATGTATCACTTCCTCAAAAAGAGTAAATGATCTTCTAATAATGGCATTGTTTCTTATGTTTGCTTTCTACTTCCCTCTTTAATAATTTGTTTTCTTTCTTTCTTTCTTTCTTTCTTTCTTTCTTTCTTTCTTTCTTTCTTTCTTTCTTTCTTCCTTCCTTTCTTTTTCTTTCTTTCTTTCTCTCCACCCCCTCTCTTAAAAGATATATTTGCTTATTTGAAAGGCAAATCAGCAAAGAGAGATATTCCATCCATTGGTTCATTCCTTAGCTGGAACTGGGCCAACCCAAAGCCAGAACCTAGGAGCCAGTTACTCCATGCTGGTCTCCCATGTGAGTGGCAGACACCAAGGCACTTAAGCCATTATCCACTTTCTCAGATGCACTAACAAGGAGCTGGATTAGAAGTGGGGTAGCTGGGACACAGACTGTGGTTCCAAGTTGGGATGCCAGTGTTCTCCTTTGTGGTTATCTCTGATGTCTGGTGGGATCTGCTGTCTTAGACAAGCATGTAACTGTACAGTAAATGAGCCTGAAAAGGAGGTGTGTGTGTGTGTGTGTGTGTGTGTGTGTGTGTGTGTGTGTGTGTGTGTTGGGAGGGAAAAAGTGGGTATTTCCCACTCCTTGGAGAGCTTAAGTGTTGAACTTCAGCAAAGTACAAGCAGCAAGTGTTTGGCCTAATGTAGAGGCAGAAGTTTGTGTTTTTTAGTGTGAGCTTCATTCTCTTCAAAGATGCCTGTGAGCTAGACAGACACTTTAGAAGGAAACCAGGAGGCTTTTGGCGGCGGGCGGGGGGGGTGTCTTTTGGCCCCATCCTTCTGGAAAGAAGAGCAGGGGCTCAACACCAGCTCAGCCGCCTTGCTCTCTTATCCCAGCATTGATGTGTGGATCAAAATCATACTGTGTGCTCTACAGGAGACCTTCCCATCTTCAGCAACCCAGCCTGTTGAACCCCTTAGAAAGATGATCTGCCTGCCGTAAGCAGGTGCTCCCACCTGCCCAGGGAGTTTCAGGTAGACCCACCTGTCACATCCTTGCCTACATGGACACCAGTGGCTGCACCTCAGTCTCCTGAAGTCTGTGTTCTGTATAACTGAGCCCCAGTGGTGTCCCCTAGGGCTGAACAGGGGACTCCTCTACATACTCAGGCAGCCTCTGTTCAAGCTATACCTACATTTTCCACAGTACTGAAGACCAGATGATCCTTCCAGAAACAAACGCCGTCCATCCAGCTTGGCTTTTCTTCCACACAGGTCAGATGAGCAAGCCAACAAGGTCAACTGAGGATAGATTTGGCTTTTTGTCCTTCTTCGCTCTGAATTTCATGTCTTAAGGCAGCACAGAGAATAGGTGCCTAAGGTTCATGCCTCAGAACTTTGCTCTTTTGTATTGTCTTGCCTGGTGTAGGACCTGCTTCCCCTGGGATGCAGTTTCCCTTCCCTGGTTCTGTTTTGGTTGGCTCCCCCCCGGTGCCACTCTGTTGGATCCTGAGCAGCAGGCAGAAGGTTGCCTTTAAATTCTTACAATTGCAACCTCTGTCACTTTATAGTGTCAGGGATGACACTTATGCTTTCTGCCTTGTGAATGTGTCTGCAGAGTTCTCTTGCAGCGGGGTTGAACAAACAGGCAGAGAATAAGGAACTTGGCAGGTGTCACAGGCTGAATTAACATAGGCTCTGCATTAGTCATTCTCCTGGGTTATCCATCAGGGTAGGAGGCCCTACCAAAATAAGAACTGGAGGCTGAAACTTACAGAGAGAGGGGGGGGAGGGGGACCAGCCTTCTCCTAAAGATAGTGGCCCCTAAGTCAAGGAGGAGAGAGAGATAGCCTGGTGAGATTTCATGTGGAAGGCCAATGAAAAAAACTCTGGAAGAACAAAAGACAAGGAGAAGAGAATAGCTGGAGAACAGTTTGTGCTGGGTGTTTGTGTTATTAGTATTTGCTGCGGGTTGAGTCTGCTCAGTCTGAACATGAAATTCAAAATCTGAATCTCTCTGAGCATTAGATGATGCCCAAACTAAAACTCCCACACCTGCCATTGGGCCATAGCCAAAATACATAATCATCCTCAGGTGATGGGTGTAAAGGCACATGAAATATCAATGAATTTTGTGTTTTGACTTGGGTCCCAGCCCCAAGAAGGGATGTATGCCCAAAAGTATAAAGAGTATAGAAACATTCAAAATCCAAAGCTCTTTTGGTCCCAAGCACTTAGGATAAAGAATTCACACCCTGTATTGAGTTTATTTATAACCAGAGGAGATTGAACTCTATGTCTTTAGTGTCTGCTCTACTTTCTAGAATTACTTTTATTCCCAAAATCTGATTCAGACCACCAAAGTCCTCCTCTTTGGGCATCATCTCATTGATAAAATCTACCTCAGCTACCCACTTTCTCTTCACCTGTCGGCAGTCTGGTTTTGGTGGGGTTATTCAGCTTTGCTTCCCTCATCTCTACCTCCAACTGAAACTCTTATGAAGATGCTTCTTCCAGGCCTGTGACTTGGGAGTAAGAACTTGCCTGCATCTACTGGAGCAAGTGTTTAGTCTAATGGGTAAGATGCTCATTCTGTAGCAGAGTACCTTGATTCCATTCCCAGCTCCAGCCCCTGATTCTAGCTTCCTGCCCATAAAGACCCTGGAAAGTAGCAGTTGATGCTCCAGGACTTAGTCTGAGGGAATGAGTCCCAAGCTCTCAGTTTCTACCGAGCCCAGCCTGGGTTGTTGTAGGCATTTAGGCATTTGAAGAATGAGCCATCAGAGAGGTTCTCTCTCTCTCTCTCTCTCTCTCTCTCTTTCTCCTTCTCCCCTTTCCTCTCTTGGTCTCAAAGTCTGCACACTCATTAAATTTCATTGATTGAATACCTATAATGTTCATTTGATTCAATGATCAGCAAAACCCAAACCTGTCTTCCCTGGAAACTCACTGTTGGGTATGGGAGATGGTGAAACAGAGTCATCAGTGCAGTCATGGAGGTCACACTTGGGGTAAATGAGTGGCCAATGAGAGCCAGGCCCATCCCTGTTGGTTGACAGAAGATGGGGAAAGGCTGCTCAGAGTGAGTATCCTCCAAGTCTCAGAGATGAATCTGACAAGGAAAGGCAAGGCCATTGCCAGCAGAGGGAACAGCATACACAAAATCACAGGGGTGTGATCTGCATCTACATATTCTCAATATAGGTAGTGTTTGAACCACAGCTGGCAGCCTTTGTGTGCGATCGTGCAAGCTGATGATGAATTAGAACATACTTTCATCTTCTTCCTTAATCATGCCAAACGTGATTTGTCTTTGACGTCAGAAAAGAGGAATTCCTTTTTTTATTTGCTTATTTAAAAATATTTAGCATAAGGTACAAAAATAGAGACAGTGGTTAAAAGAAAAAGAACTGGCAACAACAACTGTTAACAACAGAAAGTGCTGTTCCCAGACACTGTGATGGGATTATTGAAGCGTGTGATCCCTTTGGGAACAGATCTGGCAGTTTCTCATAGCATTCAACAAGAACCTACTCTACCACTCAGAATTCTACTTCTGGGTATTTTCCAAAGAGCAAAGGAAATATATATCCACAGAAGGATTTGTACAAAAATATGTATAGCCAGTTTGTTCTTAAGAGCCTTGGACTAGCCACGACCCAAATTCTCTGAACAGGAAGCGCAGGATAAATGAGCTGGGATATATTCACATAGTGAGATACTGCTCACTAACAACAACAAAGGAACAAATGGTGGGTGACTACAACAAAACGTGTGAACTTCAGAAATACAAAAATATTTTGAAATCCATGCGTTTTTCCATAAAAAGCATTTTGTATGAATTTTTGAAGGGCCCTTGTAGATAGATGCTTAGGATCAGATAAAATTCCTTCCTTCTGCAGGTAAGAAATGAAGGCCATGGTCTTGTCAGAGTCCAATAGTGCAAAAACAGCAAAGCTAGGAAAGCTCTGTGGTGTAGCCGGTTAGGCAGCAGCTTTGGACGTCTGCTGGTTTGAGTCCTGGCTGCCTGGCTCCTGATGCCAGCTTCCTTCAATACACACCCTGGGAGGCAGCAGTGATGGTCTAAGGATTAGGTCTCTACCACCCACATGGGAAACATGCATGGAGTTTCTGGCTCCTCGTTTCAGCCCCGCCAAGCCTATCCCACTAGCTCTGAGACATTTGGGGAGTAAATTCACAGATGAGAGCATCTTTCTCTCTCTCTTACTCTCATTCTACTTTTCTCATATATTAAAAAAATAACAATGACATGTTTTGGATATAAAAATATCTCTGGCTTATACAAATTTTGGAACAATATCTCTAATGTCTATCCCTGGGCACCCAGTACTAACAGGATAAATCTACCATTTGTTGAGTGTCTTTGATAGGAAAATTCTGCCCAGGTGCTTTGTACACAGCGTCCCTTCCAAAAACTGTGTAAGGTAAGGACTATGACCTGTCTTGCAAGGTGAATAATTAAAGAATTGGAAGGTCCAATGGCTTGTTAATTCTCGACGGCACAGAACTGAACCTGTGTTTGTTCTAAAATCCACAATATTCTCAGTAAGCCAGCTATTCCTTTAAAGATTAAGCTTACTCTTTTTACTAATGATCACGTAACCAGCCTTTCAGGTTATTAGACACAACCTCTTTGATTATTTTGGTCTCCTAACAAATCTGCTTATCTAGTGTCGTATAATCATATATTCCACCTTCCTAGAATGTTCCCATTTTAGCATTTAAAGACTTACACGGAAATTGTCATCCCATTTTTCTTTCAGACAGGCAAATTCTTGATCGTTTTATTCGTTCTCACTGTGGCATTGACAAAGGCAAGAAATGAAAGAGGAAAATAGTTCAAATGAAGACAATCTCAAAAATCACTGGAGCCATTGGAACCTGTCTAGTCGTTCTCTTACTAATCAAGGAAAAATAAGATAGAAATTGTCTCAAATGTGCTGTGATAGTCATGTGTTTGTATATCTTGTTCTGTTTTATTTTTAAGCAGTGAAATCATTGAAGGCTACAGATGTTCCCCTGAACACAACTTTAGCTATATCCTAAAGGTTTGATGTTTCATTTTTTTTTCCTTTTTTCCTTTAGATCCTTAATTTGTGCTTCTAATTTCAATCTTTCTGAGAAACAAGAATTATGTGGGAGGGATTTCTTAATTCCTCAATAATTAGACAAGTTGAACACATTTTATTATTGATCTCTGTTGAAGGAAAATAATGATGTAAAGTTACCCTAAATTTTCTCTAGTGCTGTTAATCTAAATTATGATTTGTGTTAAGTCAATTAAAAAGAAAAATTTTATTTGTTGTATCTTTAAATCCTTCATATCTTTGCCTATGTACTTAAACCACCAAGTCCTGAAAGGAAATTAAAAATATCCTACAGTAGACTTTGTGTTGTCCATTTCTCCCTGCATTTCTGGGGTTTGTTTCCTAGCTGTGCTTGCAGCACCTACTGTTGAGCAGTGGTCCATTCTCCTTCAGGATCAGGAAACAAATATTAAAATGTGAGTAGCCCTTTCATGCCATGTTTGCTGAGCACCTTCTATGTGTCAGGCAACGTTTTAGGTGATGGGAACAACACTCTAATGAAAGAAGGACCTAGAGCTTATCTCCCAGCTGGAGGGTCTGAAGGCATCATTTAACCTGAGACTTCAAAACCGGAAGACATGCTGCAATAACTTTCCAGGCTTAGCGAGCTAAGACAAGGCATAGGCCAACAAGGCAGGGCATATCTTGTGCTTTAGGACCAGCAGAAGGCAACGAAGTTGATGTGAGTTGGCTGGGGACAAGAGACCACAAAAGAAGATTAAGAACACTGAGTGCCATTGTATCCAGATAGATGGGCTTTTGTATTGTCCTAGTTCTGTATCCCAGAATATTCAATAAATATCTACTGATTTAAGTCATAGATCACCCATGAATACAGTTTTGCTCTAGTTCTCATCTTCAAACTGATAACAAAGCTCTGTGCAGCTGCCGTGTCTTTCTGGGATGCAAGACACTTTCTATTTCTTGCACACCTAGGAATCCCAAGTGCAATCACTGACCTTCTAAATGACTTGTTTTCAACTCTCACATGCTGAAATCCATCCTTTATGGAGCCAGTGCAGTAGCACATCAGGCTAGTCCTCTGCCTGTGGTGCTGACATCCCACATGGGCTCTGGTTTGTGTCCCAGCTGATTCAACTCTCTGCTGATAGCTTGAGAAAGCAGCAGAGAGTACTCCAAGTCCTTGGACCCCTGAACCCACATGCGTGACCTAGAAGAAGCCCCTGGCTCCTTACTTCAGATCAGCCCAGATCTGGAGGTTACAGCCATCTGAGGAGTGAATCAGTTCGAAGACTTTTATACAACTTTGTGTTGTAGAGGACTATGGATTTTCGATAAAAGCATATTGTTACCTACCCCCATTGTAGTATTGTACAGAATAGTCTTACTGTCCCCAAATACCCTTTGTGCCTCACCTATCCACCACACTTAGTCCAAGTGTATGAGACAGTAGCAATGCTTCTAACCTCAGGTGCATGACAGAATGGCCTTGAAGGATTTTAAAGCCCTGATGCTCAAGCCACTCTGAGGACCAATCTGAAAGTACTGGGAACAGCAGTAGATGCTTGTGCTTCCCCCCAGGTGGTTATAATACACAAAAAACAGAAACGCTGAGCCAGAAGAATGATCTAGTATGTGAAATGCACCTGCTAAGATTTGGTTGGTAGCTTAGTTAAAGTCTAGATAGGAAGCAGGATCTACTCCATTTGTTTAGAATGATGGGTCTTAAATGAAGGGGCTACCTATAAGGGCAGAAAGAAGGGACACGGCTCGGAGGCTGGTGGAGAAACAAACCATCAGTTCCTATAGGTATGGATGCAGCCGGGGACAGGAGTCCAATGAGTACCACAGCTATGCTACAGCCACCATCCCTCCCTTCCTGATTCTCATGTGTGCTGGATGGACACTGCAGTCACATCCGGTACAGACAACCTCATCCTGGCACTCTGTAGTGTGGACTGGTTTTTATCACAACCAAACCTGGCTTGACCCACATTCTGTTCTGGTGCTCAGATTTGCCAGTGATGATGTTAACTGATTCAGCCTGGTCTGCCCCCTATCCATGCCTAATGTATGCCAGTGGGTAACTTTCCATGGCCTATTCTGGGCTGTTTCCTATCATGCTTCTTGTGCTTACCTGCTGGGTCTGTGTCCTGCCAGAGGAGTTGCCCAGGCTCCTCCATCAGAACCTCTCCCAATGTGAGATTTTGCGCATACCAGTGGGTCCATGAGCCAGCCCTAATCAGTTCCTGACTAGCCTTGGACCCAAGCTGGTTCTTGTTGTTGGATGTTTCAGCCCAGCCACGGCTCATCCAGTCCATTCCCACATACGGCTCACAAATGGTTCAGTAGGGGTTGCGACCTAGCCTAGTCTGTCCCACGTCTATCCTGGTCCTCTAGGAGCACCAGACAGTACTGGGGTCTGGTCCAGTCCCAGTCCACACTTGTGCCCAGGGAGATTTCAACTGTTTCCTGATCAGACCACAGCCACCATTCCAGCCCACACATTCGTTGGCGGTTGCCTTAATCCAGTTAGTGTGTCTACTGGACAAGCCCCGTGCCATAGCTTTAGCATAAACTGGTATTTGGTGGTCAGCATAGCTAAGTGATAACACATTCTTTAAAAGAAGAGTAACTGTCATTGGGAATCTTTAGGATGTATTCACCTCACAGAAACACATTAGGTTCAACATGGAGCTACATAAGCAGCCATTCAAACCACCAAAATCCCAGAGCTCCCCTGCTGGGCAGCCAGCAAGCAAAGCCTGGCGCCAAATGGCACACTGGCCGCCCTGGCCCAGCTCACCATGTGCTCATGATGGTGGGCTTGTGGGATCCAGGCATGAGACACCCTGTCCCGGGACCCACCCGCAGCCGAGAGGAGGCAGGACCAGAGTAGGCTTTTGACAGGACACAATTCCCAGGAGCTGAAAAGGGCTAATGAGACAAAACGAACAAGCAAACCAACCTCCACAGATGTACGCCACAGTGAGGAACTGGCTTCAGAGTTCTCTACTTGATGATATCTGGCATGCAATATTTAAAGCTAGAGCATCACTACACTTTTTATTTTAAAAAAAAAAAGGGGAAAGATTGTATTGGGTAACTTTGTATTAGGACAATGAAACTCCTGAAACATCTAATTTTATACTTTAAAAATGTGGTTTTGGGCCCGGCGCGGTGGCGCAAGTGGTTAAAGGTCCTCGCTTTGCACACCCGGGATCCCATATGGCCGCCGGTTCTAATCCCGGCAGCCCGCTTCCCTTCCAGCTCCCTGCCTGTGGCCCGGGAAAGCAGTTGAGGACGGCCCAAAGCTTTGGGACCCTGCACCCGCGTGGGAGACCCGGAAGAGGCTCCTGGCTTCGGATCGGCATAGTATTGGCCGTTGCACTCACCGGGGGAGTGAATCATCGGACGGAAGATTTTCCTCTCTGTCTCTCCTCTCTGTATATCCGCCTTTCCAATAAAAAAAAATAATAATAAAAATAAATCTTTAAAAAAATGTGGTTTTAACTCTCCGTTTTGGAGACTTAAGAGCATGACGCTTATATTGATTCAGTTCTGGAGTGAGTCTTGTCACCTCCTGGCAAAAGGCTGAGGCCTGGCAGAGTCCCAGGATGACACAAAGCAGCATCACGTGGCAAGAGACATGGAGCTCATGCGCCCACCTGTGTCTAAAAGAAAGTCAACATGGTCCCGGAGAAGGGAAGGGAGCAGGTGTCAGAGGGGCCAGAGCCACCTCTGGAGTAACGGTGATGGCTCTGCACTTTTCCTTTGAATGAGATGAGGTACCTGGCATCTTTTTGAGCACAGAATTGACACTATCCAGCTTCTTTCCTACAAGGCCACTGTCTATGTTGAATCTATTCCAAGGTACATACATGCAGTGATTGGGTAATCCAGGTTCCAGTGCAAATGGCAGATGACCAACCCAAATATAAGTCATAATTGATTACACCCTGTTTGGACAAGATGTGGATTCCAATTAGCACAGCTCTGGCTGTTGTCGCCATTTGGAGAGTGAATCAGTGGGTGAAAGATCTTCCTGTCTTTATCTCTGCCTCTTCCTCTTTGCCTCTCTGGGGCTCTGCTTTTTCAAAGAAATAAATATAATTTTAAAACCAGAGAGAGAATTGTTTTCCTTTCCGTTTGCTCCCTGGCATTTCTTGCCCTCCCTATAACCTCACACAAGAATCAGTTACTGTCACAGTGATGGGATTAAGAGCCCCAGGGAGGACTGAAGAGAGAAGCAAGCTACCCTGGGACTCTAGTTTCAAAGTCCAGTCCAGACAGTGCAAGATCAGCCTCCATGGAGGGAGACCTCTTCAGCAGTGGCTGCTCCCAGCAGAAACTAAGTTTTCTCAACCAGGCATCTCTCAGAGCCTCAGTAATTCCTCCCAGAACCAGGTAGACACGATTCTAATCAACAAAGGAATCCCCGGGGACTTTGCTGTCTGATATTATGAACTGGAGAGACAAAGAACAAGTTCTGCTTTGGGAAGGTTAGAAACATCTCGTGTTAACAGGTAAGAAATTGTTCTCTTTGTTCTTGAATTTTTCCCCCTTAGGTTTCTAGAATCATCTATAATTCTGCTAGCTAGGGGTAGACACAGAGCTGTTTGCTGTAAACATGAACGGCAACCGGTGACTATTTACATTGCAAGGAAGCAGGTTTTATTACTTAGGAAGATGGTGGCAGGAGGTTTGTCCCACTCGTTGGCACCTGACCACACTCCCCATTCAATCTGGCAAGCACAATAACGCACACCAATGCATCCAGCTCCGGTGGTCTTCACTCACTGTTGTTATGAAATTTTGTCCTCATAATCAGAGTCTCTGGCTTAATAACTTAATTGCACTTAAAAAAAATTCTCTTGAATTTGAGTAAATCCTGCGAATATCATGTGAGTTTTTCATTGATGTAAAATTAAAACTCTTTTAGAAGCATTAATTGAATTAAGAGAACACTATTTAAGGAGCTGTGAGGACATCCCAACCCATTTGAAGATATAGACTGAGCAGCCATTATCTCAGGTTCTGGTTGATTAGGGTTTATTAAAAGTCACTTCAAAAGTTTTGACTTCAGGGTACTTTATATTGCAGTTTCTATATAATATTTTTGTTTTCATGACCATTAGGCTTCAACTTTTTTCTCTCCTATTGCTCTTTCATGAATCTCCTTTATTTTGTTAACAGGAAACTAAGTTCTAAAGGATTTCTAACTTGGTGTTATCTCAGCCCATCTTTTTTACTAACCAAATGCAGATGAAATGCCATAATGAACAATAATCGATTTCTTTTTTATGTACTTATGTTTTTCATTG